GAGGCAGGAGGAGAGCATGCAGTGAACACAGCTTGGACGACCTTGCGAGGCGCGTGGGGCGGGCGTCGGTCCTTAAAGGAAGGTGCCGGAGCGCACACGGGACACTGGGCAGACATTAGCAGCATCGAGAGCTCAGAGGTAGGGGGACGTCCAAGTTTCTGACGCGCGTGTGTGTGTGGTGACATGCGACACCCACTCTGCCCACCTCCCCGGCTCCTCAACCCTGAATGGAAACCCACTGGTACAGCAAGGAGGGGCGGCCAACTGCGTGCTCTCTCTCCTCTCTCTCTGCCTTCCAGAAAACCACCGCTGAGCCCAGGGTGGGTCCTACGAGAGAAGGGCAACACAGGAAAGCACGGGGGAGGCAGGGCGGGGAGGCACTGGGCTTTCCATGGGCCCGAATCAGAGCAATGCCAAGGGTACAGCATCCTACCGAAATGGAAGCATCATCCTTCTGTCTTGGGAGGGAGTTTGTGAAGCCACTTTTTTATCCCCTCAACTCCCTGCCCTCCCCCCCCCCAGTCCCCCTCCAAATCCCTTGAGTCTCAGTTTGACAGCAGATGATGGAAACAAAGCCATCAGCCTGAGGGGTTCTCTGCTGACTCCGAAAGGTCCCTGATGGAAAGGCCTGGGGCACCCAGGAGAGATGCTTTTGCTCCCAGGGGACATTGGACACTGTCCAAAGATATATTTGGTTGTCACATTTGGCAGGAGGGAGACCGATACTGGCTTTTAGCAAGTGGAGGCCAGAGATGAAACTCCACATCATGTTTTTACAATGCCCGGGGCAGCCCCCACCACAAAGAATCGGCCCCCAATGCCAACAGTGCTGAGGTTGGCTGGCCCCTGGACCAGAGGCTCTGAGAGTTTGGGAGCCAAGCCCGGGCACTTCGATGTCCTGGAGTCATTTTCTAGAAGACTCTGGAAAGCAGCATCGTAAGGCAGGTTTGTTCCTGCCTGCCAGGGCCACCTCGTTAAGAACGGTCTCCGTCCTGGACCAGGGAGAATGCCCTGCTTGTCCAGAACCGTTCAGATATTCAACAAATGAAGGCGTATTTACCCCTGACCTCCGCCCCTGCACGGGGCTTTGACGAGTATTAACAGGGTATGGACTCAAGACCCGTGTTCCAGGGGTGAACGTTTACGCAGGTCCTCACCTAGGTCTGAGACTCATCGGTGTTTGGGGGCGGGGACTGGCAGCGGACCAAGGACAGGGTATGCATGATGGAGAAAGAAGAGACCAGGCTGGTGGTGTCAGCGCCCAAAGGTCAGATCCAGGTTCACTGGGACCATCTGTGATGAGTCCCAAACGGTGGGAGATGGGACAGGGACTCTCCGATCTCGCTTCCTCCATCCCTGCCCCTGGCCTTTAATTCTTGAGCTACCAGGACATGTAGGTGCCGGAAGTTTACAAGGGCTGGGAGACATCGGGGAGCATGGACAAGTCCTCTAAGATGCCCAGAGGAATGTTCCTCTCTTGGTCACCTGCAGGCAGTCTCAGATTAACTGGCCAATTCAGACAGAAGCCTCTGTGGGTAAGGTGGGCATGATGACATGCCAGGGCTCAGGGTAGCGGAGATGCAAAGATGGCAGGTAATGGCCGGCTCGAAACAAAATCTGAACCCCACAGCTTTCCTGATGGCATGAACAGCCAACGTTCTAAGAGGTGAAGGGGCCCAGACATCTGGCTTGGCCATCCTGGCGCAGGGACCGTTTTTACCTGTGATCTGGGTCAAAAAATCTCACTTGTTTTGGACTTAGGGAAAAACCTGACCTCCTTTTCGATGTCCAAAGCAGGTGGCTGCCGAGAAGGTCTTTGGCAAGAGAATCCCGTGTTCTCAGGCTAATGTCTACTGGCCTGGGGTCAGTTCTCGTTCTGTGCATCTAGGCACGGCCAGACCCCGCCAACGATTCACCCCGCTGGCTGGTAATCATGTCAACAACTGTACACTCATCTTTCCCTAGAAGGTGTTTTTTGTTTGTTTTTCTCATGAGGCTCCCGTCTCAGCCTGGAGGTAATACTCTTGACCTTGTCCACAGCAGATCAGTCTCTGGTTCCTGTTGATTCAACCCCTGGAGTGGCTTTATCCCTACATCTGCCTCTTCCCTCACTCCAGCTTTGGTAACAGCAAACACATCAGCGATGGCTCAACAGGCCGGCCATCCATGCTCTATGCTGCGGCCACAATGTTCTTTTCCAAGCGCAGTGCCAATTACCTTATTTCCTCCCATTTAAAAAACATTCTTAGAGATTTCGCGCTGCCTACCAAATGAAGTCAAAATTCCTCGACATGCCTTCACCTCTCCCTGGCCCCTGGTCCCTGGCCCCTGCTCACCTGCCCGGCACCTGCCTCGCCACCCTCAGCTTCTTCAGCCTTCCTCAGCCGGCCCCGATTTACTTTCCCATCTGTGCCTTCCGTCCCCCCTCTTCCGACTTCCTAGAAAGCTTGTGTCCCCAGACCGGCAAGGTGCAATCCACCCACTTCTCAAACCCCAGGCGTGTGTGTCGATTCTAAGGCTTGTGTGTCTAAATACAGGATTCCGATCTTCTACAAACAGGAACTGCATGTTGCTCTGTACGCTTCACTGCGCCTTCAAGGCTTGATTATGGATCCATAGGTCAAGATGGGGAGCACGGCCATTTTTCCTTTTCCTATCGCACGGGGCGTCTCTTTCCTCTTGGCCAAACTCACTTTTATTCAGTAAGGTTGAGGACACTGGGGGCCAGTTCAAGGCAGAGGGGGAAAGACAGGGCTGTAACCCAGGTAACCCCCAAATGCCCAGTCAGTTCTATTTTCTGCTCACCTATGGTCAGACCAAATTTGTGTACGTAGTTTTGGCTACTGGGACTGAACTAAAAACCACCACAAGGGGGCAGCATTTACCCATCCTGGATCAGACCTAAACCCTGAACTAGGACTCTGAGTCTTGAAAGGCTCATTACAGCGAGATTTTTTCCTAACAGGGATTCTGCCAAAGGAGAGAAATACATCAGACCAATCCCCTGTCTTCTAGCCGGGCATCATGAAGCGGCTTGTGTTGGGAGTTGAAAGGTGTTTAAAGGCAAAAATCCTTTTTGGGAAGAAAGATGCATCCCCATTCTATAATCACTGCTTTGGACTCCCTGATAAAATGAGACAATGCTTCCATCTGCCTGCCTGTGACCAAGAAGCATAGGGATATACGAAGAAGATGCCTGGAACACAGCAACTGCACACAAGTACTTATCTGGGGATGGAAAAGCACTCACGCCCAGAGCTTGGTCTGGAGAGAGAAGCGTTGATGAATCCCTCCTTGAACGATGGTGGAGAAAGGCGAGGTCTAGTTTGCCCTTTGCCTTCAAGAATCTCCAAGATTGTCCCCTCCTGGGGACACCTCTTTGGCACTCCCTGTCCTAAGGCCCTTCTAGAGAGGCTCAGGGCACTTTCTCTTTGGCAGGCCTCCAAGCAGAGCATCCGAAATCCCCATTATGCCATATAGAAAGGCAAGGCTGCCTCTCTGTACGACATAACACAACCAAACAGAAGAACCCACTGTCTGAGGCACCCCCTTCCAAGCCTGGGGACCCAGGACAGGCCCCTCCAGGAAATTCTTTCCAGGCCCACCACTGAATTTTAGCCCTTATGGGTAGAGAGGGACCCTCCTAGCTCATTCCTGCTGAGAGGGTGAGCTCAGCAGGTGGCCTGCTGGGTAGGAACTGTGCTGACCCTGATTCGCACTGAAGACTCTGCCGCCCATTTTTGATCGGAGTCATAGTTCGTTAATGTGTCAAAATTATTTTATCAGGCTAGAAACCGCGGGATCATTCACGGGAAGGCCAAGAGCATGTGGGCCCGGCCAGCTGGGCTGTGGTCCTGTACAAGAGGCTGTGTGAAGCCTCATTATGGCTTCCCTCTCCAATCTACCCACTTTAATGGGGTTCTACGATTTCCTTCCTGGGTGGATCAGCAAGCCCCTGTTTGGAGCAAAAAAAAAACAAAAAAAAAACCTCAAAAAAGCCCAAAAACCAAAAAACCCAGCAATGATCTTCTTCCTTGAGATGGTTTGCAGTCTCCAGTCTCTGCCACTTTAATGTTTCCTCTATTTGTACTTTTAGCGTCATAACATTGCAAGGGGAAACTGAGGAAAAGCGACTTGCCCAAAGTCACCTGGTGGCAAAGACGGGAACATTACCTCCCAGACTCACAGGTAGGGTTATCCGGGGAGGGCCAAATCGGGTGATCCTATCTGGGGCGGTGGGGTCGGGGAGGGGGTTTGCTTCATCGATGAGATGGGTTAGTTTCCCAGAGCGGGCCCCGCTTGCTAACTAGTGCCCGCCAGGAGCTGAATGCATGCAATTCTGTGAGCCCCTGTTTGAGGGCGGTTTCCCCTCCGTCATCACGCTCCCTTCTCCCTGCGCTTTGCATCCAGGACAGGTGCTTCGGGGACAAGAATTTCAGGGACACGGAGCACAGATCATAAGTTACGGACGCGTGAGGGACGAACACAAGGCAGGGCATGGTTTTCGGCACTGAGAGGCGGAGGCAACACGCTTGCACGGGGGGGGGAAGGCGGACGATGGAGACCCAGGCCTGTCACACGCGTGCACACGCGTGCACACACACACACACACACACCCAGGACGTCATCATAAAAAGGGACAAGGTGGGGGGGGGGCTTCAGATGCAGAGGGACTGGCTGGGAAGACTCTCCTGACCAGTCCCTGCAGCCTCTCCAGGGGAAACCCCAGAAAACGAGCCCTAAGAGGAGCGACGGCCACATTCCAGTGGTTTCATGCACCTGCGATTTGCCCTTGTCGGGGGGGGGCGGGGGGGACACGGGTGTTGTAAGAGCCACTGTGGATGATGAAGGCATTGCAGTGCGGCAGGAAAACTCAGGGAGAAAACCCGGAGGGCCAAGGAGACCACCGGGGGGCGGGGGGCCCGGAAGACGAACAACCACGCTGACAGTATGAGAGGGACAGTGGGGGCCACGCGGGGGCCCGGAGGGAAGGTTCCGCAGTGTCCACGCTTATAAAACCTGCAGCCCCCCCCGCCCTGCCGGAGCGCAGGGGACAGTCCCCCGGCCATCCGTCTGGGGAAGAGGAGCCAGTTAGGAGCTGAAAACTCTGCAGGAAGACAGGGAGGGAGAGAGTCAGCATCCTCGAATCAGAGCCCGAGAAGCCACCAAGCTCTGGGCACAGCGGCTCTGTAGCCCGCCCCTCTTCTCCCCCTCTGCCCCCAGAACCAAGCTGCAGCACTGCCCTGTGCGGTTGGGCAGGCTGAGCAAAGGGGAGGAAGAGGGAATGAGAGAGGCTTTCTGACAGCCACAGGAATTGTAATCTGAAAGGCAGTCGTGTGCGAGCCTATTGGACACAAAGCATGTTTTCGAGACCGCTGTATCCTCACAGGGGGTGGGGAGGAGGCTGCTTAAGGAATGGGGTGTCATGGGGTGCCTGGGTGGCTCAGTCGCTTAAGCGACCGACTCCAGCTCAGGTCATGATCTCATAGTCCATGGGTTCGAGCCCCGCGTCGGGCTGTGCTGACAGCTCAGAGCCTGGAGCCGGCTTCAGATCCTGTGTCTCCTTCTTTCTCTGCCCCTCCCCTACTCACTCTCTGTCTCACAAAATAAAGACATAAAAAAATTTAAAAAAAAAAAGAAGAAATGGGGTGTCTTGGGGTGCCTGGGTGGTGTCTGACTTCTGCTCAAGTCACGATCTTGTGGTTTGTGGGTTCAAGCCCCGCATTGGGCTCTCTGCACTGGTGGTGCGGGGCCTGCTTGGGATTCTCTCTCTCTCTTTCTCTTTCTCCCCCTTTCTCTCTGCCCCTCCCCCACTTACACTTGCTCGTGCAAGCCTGCTCTCTCTCTCAAAATAAATAAACTAAAAAAAAAAAAGAAAGAAAAGAAAAGAAACGAGATGTCTTCCCTATGCTACCGAAAACGAGACGGCCGAATTCCTACCGAATTTAATGCCAGGGGCAGACGGTGGTGGTTTGGAGGTTCTCTCCGGTGGAAACGGGGGGAGTGCCTTACAATCGCAGTTGACTGGGCTGGGCATTAAGATAAGGTTGAAATAGTGAGACTCAATCCAGTCCTGTGACGCCTCAGGCTGTCCCCAGCAACTTCCAGAAGGCTGGTAAAATTGCCATAATAACACCAATTGGGATTTGTGTGGATGGGAACGTTCTGGGCAATTTAGGGGACGAGGCTGGAGCCATTATTCCACTAGGGGGCGCCCCAGGCAGACGCAGGGCACCCAAAGCCAGGGTTCCCACGTGGGGAGGGGCCTCAGAATCCCCTGGAGGGCTTAAAAAAATTTTTTTTATGTTTTTATTTTATATTTGAGAGACAGAGTGAATGAAAGAGAGAGTGAGCAGGGGAGGCACAGAGAGATGGAGACGGAATCGGAAGCAGGCTCCAGGCTCCGAGCTGTCAGCACAGAGCCCACGTGGGGCTCGAACTCACAAGCAGTGAGATCATGACCTGAGCCGGGAGTCAGACGCTCACCGACTGAGCCACCCGGACGTCCCCCCTGGAGGGCTTTTTAAAGCACAAACTGAAGGTCTCACTCCAGAGTTCAGAGCCAGCAGGGCTGGGGTGGCCTGGGAATGTGCATCTGCGAGCCCCGCCCCCAGTTGTGGGAAAGCCCTTGTAAAATGAAGCCAGACACCCCCCCCCCGCCCCTTGCCCACAGGATGAAGACGGCTTACTCATCAGTGTCTTTTTTGCTCTCCTCAATGAAGGCAATGGATTCAGATCTAAGGCGGTTGGTCACTTCATATGTTCGCAGGGTGACCCCGAAAATGTCCTCATGGTACCGGTTGTCGTCCTGGGGGACAGAAACAGCCATCAAACGCCAGCCAAAGGCAGCAAAGGGACAGACACGCTGACACCCTGTAATGGAATGTCCCTAAAGACCCTGTGCTCTCCAGCCCATAGGGGTCTCTCCGGCCCAGGTGGCAAAGAACATTTCGGTTTGCATCCAGAAACAGGGCCGCTGGTTCTGACAAGAGGAAGCGCAGGGGCCCAAGGGAAATCTTGCTCCCCAACCCCCCTTGTTCCCGCAACGTGCAGATCTGGGCACAGCTGGGTCAGTGTGAGGCATCCCAGCCCAAAGAGGCCAGCAGAGATGGGAGAGGAGCAAAGGTGCCCGGTTAGCATTCAGGGGACACGCCACAGCCGCCGGAGTGGAGACTTTCGCGGGCACACGGGAGTTTATCCAAAGATGAGCATCCTTGCTCAGAAGTAAACAACCAAGAAAGACCAGGATTTCTTGCGCCTAAGTTTCTGGAGGCGTGGGAGCCCCTTCAGCAAACTGAGGGGCAGGCATGGAGAATATCCTCAAAGGGCCATGTCCTTGAGGATTCAACAAGGGAAATGTGCCTCACTGCTGAGGGCAGGGTGCTGGCTGCGGGATCACGGTGACGCACGACAATGCCCAGAGTTAAGTCCTGGCGCCCTTTGGTCCTGAAGGAAGTTGCTCATTTGTAGAACAGGCTCACTTTTAGTTGGAGTAGTTTTCCAACCTTATTCTGCAGAGGTCTGGGAATCTAAGACAGGGTCTCCAGGGCTCACACCAAAGAGATTGAGCAATAGGAGCTCTCTGACATTTCTACCAGAAAGTTCTTTTCTTTTTTCTTTTCTTTTTTCTTTTCTTTTCTTTTCTCTTCTTTTCTCTTCTTTTCTTTTTTTCTTTTCTTTTCTTTTCTTTTCTTTTCTTTCCCTTCCCTTCCCTTCCCTTCCCTTCCCTTCCCTTCCCTTTCCCTTCCCTTCCCTTCCCCTTCCCTCCCCTCCCTTCCTCCCTCCTTCCCTCCCTCTCTTTTCCTTCCTTCCTTCCTTCCTTCCTTCCTTCCTTCCTTCCTTCCTTCCTTCCTTCCTTCCTTCCTTCCTTCCACCAGGAGCTTAGCATTAGATTTAGAGCAAGACTTCTTGTGCAAAAAATGTTTGGTTAATGCCCATTTAGGGAAGAACAGGGAAGGATGGGATCATCCCTGGAGCCTTGTGAAGGTACGGGACTCAGTTCCTCCTATTTGGGGCAGCTGGTTGCTCAGTTAGGACTTTGCTTGCTGGGCTGCTGCTAGCCTCTGTGCAAATTAGGTGAAAGCACCCTTCTTTCTGAGGTAGACATAGTTCCATACCAGCATACATGGCTCTGTGCAAGCATAGGGTGGCTCGCCTCAGACAAACCTTTTTGTGCAGTGCTCAACCTGCACAACCGCATGGGGCAGTGCTGCAGCTTGGTTCTGGGGAAAGGAAAATTGGGCGAGAATGCTTTCTATCTAGCTACCCAGTGGTCCACCCACTTGTTATTTTCACACACCACTGCCGTCATCCCTATTTAATACAGGCACCCGCACACCCAGCGCCCAGTCATCCTTCCTTCTCCCTCAACTATGGTTTGGGACCACCGGTATCGTCTACCCTGAGCCATAAATGGGAACGTGGCAGCAGGAGGGACGCCATCATGGCTCCCCTAATCGCTGAGACAGGTGGGGCGAGGAAGAGGAGACAGGAACTGGATGCCAGAGAAGGGACCCAGGAAGCCAGCGGGGCCGCTCACCCTCAGCCTGCTGATGAACACGCCAGCATCCTCCGCTGAGAGTTTCCCCTGCTGGGTCATGATGCGCTGGATGGCTTTGAGGACGTCGGCGGCCATGGTGACGTCCCCGCAGACGTAAACGTGGCCCTCTTGCTCCGTCAGGGCTCGGTACACAGGCTCTGCCAGCTGCTCCTGCAGAATGTCCTGGACGTACTTCTGCAGGGAGCACGGAGAGCCGTGAGAAGGAGCCGGGCTCCGGGGCCGCTCACTCCCTGGGGAGCAGAGCCTGACACCGGTGACCTCAGGGGTGACCCCAGGGGACTGGGGGGAGTGCGTAGGAGAGGGAGAGCCAATCCAAGGGTGTGTGAACGGAGCGCAGCTGTGCTAAGGACCCCCTGGGGGTAGAACGCACCCCTGACGCAGCGCCGAGCCGGGTACTGTCCACCTGCTCCCCCCTGCAGTGGGCAGCGGGCACCCGTGGGGTGTTAACGCCCTGCTTTGGTAGGTGCGGGGTTCGTTACTGCATGCATCCTGTGGCGGGGGGAGGGGGGGTGCCAGGGAGGCCCCAGGGCAGAGATGGGAGCGGTGAGGGGCTCTCAGCTCACAGCTGGACACACCCAGCTGTTGCAGCAAGAGCTGATGTCAAAGGTGGGTCAGAAGGAGGGGGGGCAGGGTGTCCAGTACATCCTCTAAGGCGCTGGGCCTTATTCGTCCAGGATGCCCGTAACTCGCCCAGGAGACCGCCCCGGGCGGAGGCCGACTTGCAGCTGGCATAGCCTGGCAGGGCTGTCCCGGTTGTGAAGACCTTCGATGCCCTTCCACGCCCAAGGTCAGGCAGCCGCGGCCCAGACCCTCCGCGGGCCCGCCCCGCCCCAGCTGTCCCGGCCCTTTCCTGGGACCGCCCCCTGGGGCTCCCCAAGACCCAGCAGGCACGTGCTCCAGTCCGGAGGCCCGTGTCCATTCTGCCTGGCAGTGCCTCTAACGGACGAACGGGCTGTTAAATGGTTTTTTTTTTTCTTTTTAATTCATAGTTTTAAACATTTTTTGATTTTTGGTAAAATACACACCGCATAGAAGGTACCGCGAAACTGAAAGCGAACAGTTTGTGGCGTGTAGTACGCCACAGCCCCGTGTAACCATCGCCCCGTCTAGTTCTAGAACTTACTCATGCCCCCAAAAGGAAACCCTGTACCCACTGGCGGTCACCTCCCCGCCCCCGCCCCCGCTGCTCCTGGTGACCAACAAATCCGCTCTCTTGTTTCTATGGGTTTGGCTGGTCCAGATATTTCACATAAGCGGCATCATAGGCTATGGGCTGTCAAATATTTTAAATCAATATTTTTATGCTCCTGCTTCCCCACGTATAGAGCAAGTTTCCGCAGGAGACTTTGGGAAGGGTGTGGGGGCGTCTGCGGGTGCTGGGCTGGGGTACAGGGACAGTGAGTGGGCCAGGGGTTACCTTTGGTTTGTCCGGCTCCCGGGAGTAGGCCGTGAAGAGCTCTTTGAAGACCCCTTTGTTCTTGGCCTGTAGAGTTTCCTCCCTGTAGATGTGATCGATCTTGGATTGCCGGCACCCAAACACCAGGACCATGGGGCAGGGGCTCATTCCTGGGGGCCGGGAGGATGTCATGTCACCAACAGCTCCGAGGCCTGACCTGGGGCTGTGGGTGGTGGTGCAGCGGGGGGCGGGGGGAGGGTGTGTGCTGCGATTCTTAGTGTGTACCGTGCACACAGAGGCGCTCAAACACAGACACAGGCTGGGGTACACACGTGCACACACGCACACCCATACGCACACATGCACACAATGAGGGAAGCAGGTAGAGGGTGCTCAGGGTCTCAATCTTTCCTTCCGCCCCCACCCCCTGGCTACTTAGCGGCCCCTACTGGGTAGTGCTTACAGGGTGGCCGTGAGAAGTAAAACAGGGGCGCCCAGCAGGCAGGGAATCCTCGATCGGAATTAGCTATCCCCCCTGAATGACTGCTCTATGGGAGCAGCTTATCACTGGTATTTTTTTAAGTCGCGTCTCTGTCTTGTTCATCGCTATGCCTCTAGCGCCTCCAACAGTGTTCGCGTTTATTAGATGCTCAGTAAACCCCTGTTTAAGGCACGCCGCCACTGTGGGCTTCTTTCCCACTCCTCCCAAAGCTGATCTGTTGTGTCTCTCACACAGCAAAGCTTGCTCTTGAGTACAAACATTTTGGGACAAGCCCACAAAACAGACATGCATTTGAGAAGGCTTCATGTCTTTTCCTTCAGGTCTGCTTGAAGTTTCAGACGGGCCCTATCATAACGGTCCAAGAAATGTCCTCTGGGAACGGACGTTCAGGCCCGAGGCCGAATCAGGTGCGAGATTTGTTTGGATACGTCCTTCGAAGCACAACCGTGAACCTCACCTACGGGTCAGGTCAGTACTAGGATCCCCCTGGCCTGCCCCCGGCAGTGATGCGACCCAGCGACAACTCCTTCGTTGCCGGGGTGATGGGCCTCGCCACGTCCAAGCGGGGTGGAAATCCCACGGCTGCTGAACTCCGACCCACCTTTGTGCTGGATATCAAATTGCCGCTGCTGCCAGAAGCTTCGGAAAGGGGCGATGCCAGTGCCCGGGCCGACGAGGATGCAGGGCACCTGAGGGTTCCGGGGCAGGTGGAAGCTGGGTGCTCTGGATGAGAAGGAGAGAATCAGGAGGCTTGCTGAGCTCGGATCGGATCCAGGGCGCCTGGGTCTTGGGTAGACCAGGCGGTCGTCTTGGTACCCTTGTGGGATCACACGCTTCCCCTGGGGTCAGGTGTCCCTCATGAGAGCGGGAGGTCCCACAGCTTTGGGGAACTCCCCAAACAGAGGCAATCTGGCCACGACGCAAATTCCCAATTTTCCTCATTGCCGAGCTAAGCCGCAAAGGGCAGTGGGATAGATTTAACTCGGGGCTCCCAACCTTAGCACGCCTGACATTTGGGGCTGCACACTTCTCTGCTGGGGGGGGCGCCCCGTGCATGGTGGGATGTTGAGTGGCACCCCGGGCCTCTACCTACTAGATGCCAGGAGCACATTCCGGCTGTGACAAACAACAGCATCCACAGAATTTGCCAAATGGGCCCTGAGCAGAGGTGGGGAAAGGAATCACCCCCTCTGAGAACCACCAGTTTAACCACCCATGAGATCTAAACTCGGGGAGCAGACCACAGTGTATAAAAGAATCATGGAGGGGCAGGATGTTAAAAGTGCAGATTCTTGGGCAACGCAGCAAGTCTGGGCTCAGGATACTGTATGTTTGAAGCACCACGCGGGATTCTGATGCCAATGGTATGTGGACCATCCCATGAAGACTCTGGTCCCAAGAAAAATCTAGTCTGAGAAAAATCACTGGTCGAGACCACTGCTCAGGTAGAGAAATTAGTGGCTGACAAAGCAGGAACCTAAAGTGGGCGCAGGCATAGCCTTTATTGTGAAACCTTTTTTAAGTTGTATTTTTTATGTGATGGATTGTGGGAAGAACACTTCAATGAATTCTACGCTCTTAACAGAACTTTTAAGTGCACAGTATAGCACTGCTCATCGTAGGCAGGAATGCCCTTTAAAGGTGAGTTTGGGGGCGCTCAGCGGGGTTCAGTCGGTTAAACGTCCGACTTCGGCTCAGGTCATGATCTCACGGTTGGGGGTTCGAGCCTTGCATGGGGCTCTGTGCTGACAGCCCAGAGCCTGAAGCCTGCTTTGGACTCTGTATCCCTCTCTCTCCGCCCCTCCCCCACCCATGCTCCATCTATGTCTCTCAAAAATAAATAAATGTTAAAAAATTTTAAAAAAAAGAAATGTGTTTGGGAGGAACAGCTCTGATCGGTGTGGGGGGAGGGTGTGGATCTTTTCCCATCTCCAAGAAAGTGGGAGCTAGGGCGTCTGGGAGACATCGGATAGAATTTCCACAAGGCTGCCCAGTCCAGGAAAGCGGATACTGTGTTTGCCTGGCTGTCTCCTGTAGCCTCAGCATCTAGCGCTGTACATGCACTTGATACATATTCGTTACCTTGACCTGACTTGAACTCCAGGGCTTGCTGAGTTTCTGCCGCGTCGCCCTCCCACGATCCCATTGACTTAACAACTTGGAGTGATACGAAGTGCTTGCCTGCTTGCCGATCTCAGTTCTGTCTGACTCAGCCATTTCTCTAGAAACCTCGGGGCTGGTCCACCCACCCCATCTCGGAACATCCATATGCAGATTCGAGACTGCTGCTCGTTTCCTTACCCTCTCACGAAACAGGGAACCACTTCGTCAGCCGGTATCTGGTTGAGCCAGGAGGAGCACACGCCATGGTGAACTGGCCCTTCTCCATCTAGCAGAGTAACCGAGGCGGTCTGGGGCGGGTCCTGTCCCCACGGTCCCCAGTCCCCGGCCTCCCCCCTCCCTCCAGAGCCCCCACGCCAAGTTTGCGCCTTGCCATTCCTTGTCTGGACCCCTTCCTCTGAAGGGGACATGGTATAGCTGGGGTGAGTCGAGGCTCTGAAACGGCCCAGGATTCCTGTGGGTGAGGGTGGGTGGGATTCGGATCCTGCCCACCGAGAAGGTCACGGTCAGGGTGCTCTGGGTGACCTTCCAGGATGCCCGTCTCAGAGCGCCCCCAGGCACCGTACATTTTAATTGCTTCATCAAGGAGGGAAAACGCAGGAGAGAAAACGCTAGAGCATCTGACTGACCTACAACTACCTGGACATTGCGGCGGGGAGCTCCCCACCCCGAGGGACGGCTGGGGGCGGTTTGTTTGAGTCGCTGCCTTGGGGGGATGTGACGAGGAGACGAAGGCAGTAAAAGGGCTCTCAGGCTTGGGGAGCAGAGGTGAATTTCAAGCGCACATCTTTCCCGCTTTCTGATTCTGCACAGGGTGGGCTCTGCCTGAAGGGGCCGTGCACATGCTCCGTTTCTTCCCTGAGCCCTTGGCCTTGGGGATGGGTCTCCTGCCCGGGAACTTGGGGTGTGGCAGACCTATAGAGGCCCCGGGGGGGGGGAGGAGGGGAGGCAAATGCAGACCCGGAGCCCGCCCTCCCGCCCCCAGTGCGTCTGCCCACCTCGGGTGCGGTAGGAGACAACGGCCACGGTGAGGTGCACCTCGTCGGGGTACATGTCCGGGGAGGAGCTGATGGAATAGTACCGAGGCTGCAGCAGGGACAGCTGGGTCAGGAGCAGGCTGGTGAGCATCTGGATGGACGGGAATTCCTCCAGCACCTCCACGATGGTGGGGTTCTTGCTCCACTTCCATTCCTCGTACTCCTGCAAACCCTGTACCAAGGAGAGGGACCCGGGACTCGCAGCCCGTCCTGGTACGCATGCCCAGCAAGGGTGCCAGAATGGCTGCGGAAGGTCGTTAGTAGCCTCGTAAAGGGTGGCTAACATTTACGCAGTAATCACTCCGTGCCAGACTTTAATTCTTACAACGAGCGTCGGAAATAAGTACATTTTTTCCTCCCTATTTTATAGAGGAGGAAATGGACAACTCTTGACGCCCTTTGGCTTTGAGGCAGTGATTCTGGGTTTTGAATCTCGGTCAGGGGTGGCAAACTTCAGCGCAACTCGTAAGTGTGGCTTACCACCTATTTGCAGGGCCCGTGAGCTGAGAGTTGTTTTTAGGTGTTTCAAAGGATGGGGAGTGGGGAGGAAGTCAAAAGAGGAATACTAGTCACGACACGAGAATGTGATACGAAATTCAAATTTCTGTGCCCACAAATGAGGTTTGATCGGACTCCGGCCACACCCACTCACTTAGGTGCTGTCTGCTCTTGGGCTATCATGGAAGAGTTTGACGGTTGTTAACAGCGACCTCATGGACCGTGAGCCTAACACATTTCCTACCTGGCTGTCCATGCGGAAAGGTTGCTGACATCTGCTCTAGGCAGTGTGGCCCCCAAAATCTGGGCCCCCAACCATTATAGAGCCTGCCACATGTAAAGGTCAAGAGAGAAGCACTGGGAAGTGGAGGGAGTCGTGACTTGCTGATACAGACTCAGACCTGTGATCTGTGAATTTGCAGGGCTGGAGATGCATAGGTCAAGTTCAAGATGGTGAACGGCAGCCCCAGAGGAACAGGTTAGGGTGTGGAGGCCCACGTTCCGGGGCACGTAGACGGCACGACCCAGCTGCTACCAGGGAACAGAGGAACTCCCTGGGGCTCGAGTTATTTTTCCCACATCACAGAAGCTGCCCTGGGCAGCTTATACAAGGCTCAGATTTTGAAGAATAAAGCCTATTATAAGTGCATCATATAACGAAGCTTTCCCCCACCTTCCTAAAGACAACCTTGCTCTGCTGATTGATAGGGTGTGGCACCCTTGAGGCCTGTCCCCCAGACCTCCAGTCTCACTTACCTCTAGCTACAAGGTGCAGTTAGCCAAGAGCCTCAGGAGCTACTCTCTGAAGTGGACCCCCCCCAGAAACAGACATAGATCCCTGGTCCTTCCAAAGGCTATGGCTGCCGTTCTAGATGCTTCCATTCAAACTTCCTTCCCTCTCCATCACTTGGGGTCCGATTTGTCAGAGGTCTGATGGTTCTCCCAGCCTTAGCTGAGTTTTTCCCATTTTTCTCTTACTTGGGTGTTTCCCTTGTTAAATATCCTGGGTGTTTCCCTTGTTAGATATCTTCACTCATTTAATCCCACCTTAGAGTTTGTGCTCTTTGGAAGAAACGGGCTAAGACGTACAGTTTATCAAATTCTACCTGAAATCACCCTGTCCAAACAGTGCTGCTCTCTGGTCCCTCTGCATAGCAGCCCGCGACTCATTAATTACATCTTTAAATTAAAGTTATGCATGTACATAGTATAAATAAACAATTCTGCAAAGCTTATGATAAAAATTAATGCTCTCACTTCTCCAGTCTGTTTCCAACTCCCCAGAGGCAACCCCTTACAACTCTCTATACATATTCCTTCTGGTGTTTTTTTTCTCATTTCTAAATACAGGTGCCCCTCAAACAACACAGGTCCTTCAAACACACTTTCTTTTCTCGAACTTACTTTATTGTAAGAATACAGTCTGGGCAGGGGGGGAGAGGGGAGATGGGCATGGAGGAGGGCACTTGTGGGGATGAGCACTGGGTGTCATATGGAAACCAACTTGACAATAAACTATTTGTAAAAAAAAAAAAAAAGAATACAGTCTAGAGTACATATAACATATGGAATATGTGTTAATTGACTGTTTATATTCCTGGTAAGGCTTCCAGTCAACGCTAGGCTGTATTTGTCGCTATTTGGGGGGGGGGTCTAAAGTTATATGTGGATTTCTACTACACAGGGGGTGGTTAGCACCCCTAACCCTGGCGTTGTTCAAGCGTCGAATGTCATACGCATTTTCTGAATTAGCCTCTTCCTCTCTGCCCATTGTTCAGTGCCCTCTCCTGGACAGCAGAAGAAAGCTAAATCATTCTTTGCTGGTGCCTTGCTTAGTGGGGAGGAGGCCCCACTGGGAGAAGTCTGGGTGGTCCTCCTGGGTAGGATTCTTACTGAACATGGTTTTGCAGCAGCTTAGGGCAAGGGAGCCAAAGCAAGGATGAAAGAAGTGCTTGTTTGAGTCATTTTACCGTCAGAGGGCCTCCTGTATCTTGCAGTGCTACTAATAGCTCCTCTGCTTTGGGAAAGGCCTCTCTCTAAAACACAGCAAGTGGGATTCTCTCTATCTTTTCCTCCTAAGCAAGGGCTCAGACACAACTAAAACTAACCGAAGCTCAAGAGTTCCGAAGGAAGGAGGAACACGAGTTGGCACAGCAACTTCTACTGGGCCAGAGAACTCTGACATTCAACAGGGTTCCCTCGTTCTGTCAGACCTTAGTTAGAATGGAGATGGTCAGGACAAGACTAGCCAATATGGCGACCATCTGCGAACTAAAAATTGGCAACTCTTGCTCAACACTGCCACCTGCTGGCTGGATGACCGTTGGACTAGTTCTATAAATCCACCAACTAGGAGGTGAAAGGGGCCCTTGGGGGTGTATGAGGCCAGAGACCCACCTTGCTGAGGACCAGCAGGCGCTGCTTCTCCTTCTCGCTGGTGGCCAGGGAGGCAAACTGCTGCAGCTGCAGCGGCGTGGGCGGCGTGGTGATGTCCAGATAGTACTTGAAGGCCTGGAAGATGGTGCAGGGCGGGAGGCGGTGCTCATTGGTCCAGTTACTGATGACTCCTATGAAGGTACAACGGAGGTGAGGGCCAGAGAGGGGGAGGGGAGTCTGAGCTCCGAGGGCTTAGCTCCTGGGAGAGAGGATGGGGCCGGTGAGCCAAGCAGCCTCTTGGTTTGCCACCTCCCATGTCCCACATCTACACCCAGGGCTCTGGGGACCACGTAATTATCTCATCTGTGCAAGGCACACATCCAAAATCAATTGAGCAAACCAGTTCAAAAGTTAAAAAAATAAACCATATTAAAACAGCATGAGACAGTCCCATGGCATTCTATGCAGTGAGCCCCCCACTGAACACGGGTCTATTTTGGCTCTGTCTGCCTTCTCACGGTGCCAGCCTCTCAGACTTCTAAGTGGGATTCCAGTGTTTAAAATTACAAACATACCTAGCACTTTCCTAGCACTTTCTCTATGCCAAGCGCTATTCTCCATTAATTCACTTAGTTCTCACAACAGCTCTCTCTAGGTGACTGGTGCCATTATTATCATCTCCGTTTTGCCACTGAGAAAAATGGAAGAAGCACAGAGAGGTCAAGGAACTTGCCCAAGGCACACAGCTCATAAGTGTGGAGTCAGGCAGCACTGCTCCAGACCTTGTTCTAACTACTACACTGTACTGCTTCTGTGTCATTTTCAGCTGAAATAACCCCCAAACACAAGCCTTTACTTTATGTCATGGGTTCGACTCAACATAAAAAAATAGTGCTGTTCCAACATGAAGGAAGAACTGGCTGGGTAGGATTTATAAAGTGTCCTCTCTCAAAAGTGGTATCTTTCTTCTTCTTCTTCTTCTTCTTTTAATGTTTATTTATTTTGAGAGTGTGTGGGTTTGGTTGGTTGGGGGGGTTGAGAGAGAGAGAGAGAGAGAGAGAGAATCCCAAGCAGGCTCCATGCTGTCAGCGCAGAGCCCAATGTGGGGCTTGATCTCATGAACGATGAGCTCATGACCTGAGCCAAAATCAGGAGTTGGACACTTAACCGACCGAGCCACTTAGGTGCCCCAGAAGTGGTATCAGAAATGTGGTTCAACCTCTAGAGCGCCATCGAGCTGCATACAGTGCCTTTTGATTTCAAGAGGAGGGACGGTCCTTCAGCTGCTATGCATTGGGTGGTCAGCGAGGCGGTGGCGATGAAGGAAGGTGAGCCCCTCCCCCAAGGATGAGCGACAAATGTCCTGGTATCACGGACACTGGCTCAGCCCGTGGGGCCAAGGTTGTTCGGCCATGAGGCAGGGAGGGGTCTTCCGTCTCCTAATCTGGAGGTGACAGGGACCCATTCTCCCCCCAGGATTGGTGACTGGGAAGAAGGACCGTCTCTTCTCCCCCAGTCCCGGACAGGACAGGACGGGCAGTGCCCCGGGAGCTCCCTGGAGAAGGGGAGGGGCCTTGGGAGCGGGGGCGGGGCCCAGCCTTGCCGCAGTTACCCAGAGCAGTGCTTCGCTCCTCCAGCAGCTCCACCTTCACCAGCTGGTTGACTGGGGGTGCATCCTCCAGCCGTTCCATCAGGGCGGCCACCAGGTCGTCGCGGTTGCCAGGGAAGACGCCCAGGTGGTCCCCAGGCTGGTACTGCAGCTCCTGATTGCCGTTGGTGTGGAGACGCACGAAGATGGTGGACCGGCTGGAGGGAAAGTTGAGGAACAGCAGATAAGGGTCACCAGCAACTGCCTCCTCTCCTTGCTCCTTTGTCTCTTGTTGTGGCCGCAACCCCCCTCCTTCCGTTCTCTGTGGGGCCCCCAGTCCTTTGCCCCCGTCACCCCACACCCCAGCTGTTAGCATGAGCTCCTCATTGCAAACCCAACGGCAAGTTCCGAGTGCCCAGCACGGGGCACGGCTGCTCACTTCCTCCTTCTCAACTCCTTTCTCCTGGATTCCAGCACCCCAGGCTCTCCTGATCGTCTCTCCTTGGCCGCCCCTTCTCATCTCCCCGACCTCTGGGCCTGAGAGCACCTCAGGGTTAGGTCCTCTGATTGATTCCTTGCTTTTCTACATTCTTTAACCGGCCTTTCTCCAACCCGTTACCACCATCTGCCTCCCAGTGGAGTGTACATCGTCACATGGTCTGTGGCCGGGTCCCCTGCCTGCCCTCTGGCCTCCAGGGCAACACAAACTCTAGGCGGCAAAGAACCTGTTTTGTCCACTGCTCTGCTCCTGACACACAGGACTGTGCACGGCACATAGTTGGGACTCAAGAAATATTTATTAGACGAAGAAGCCTCAGACTCCCAGGGCTAACCAGCCACCACAACAGACTCTGTTCTCAGGACTAACCGGGTTCTCCCAGGAATCACAACCCCATTGGGGCCAAGGCAGCGGAGTCCCCAATCTGTGAAATGCCCTCTCTCTTGGGACTCTCATGCTCCACTCCTCTTTTGTAAGTTGCCGGGGGCAGGGGCGGGGGGAGAAGGAGACTCATATCGTCATGGAAAAGAGAAACATAATTGGGTTTTGGTATGTGCAAATCCGCCAAAATCAATTTGAGAGATCTAAGGAGAGAAAGCAGAGAGAAACTCATTTAAATCTGCCAGGCACTTCTCTTTGGCATTGGTTTTTTGAATTTTAAGGGCAGGAGGTGTTTCAAGAATGAATTCACAGACTATGATCATTTTGGTCCTTTAAAAAGTTTTAGTACAGGGGTGCCTGGGTGGCTCAGTTGGTTAAGCGTTGGACTTTGGCTCAGGTCATGATCTCACAGTTCGTGGGTTCAAGCCCTGTGTCGGTCTCTGTGCTGACAACTCAGAGCCTGGAGCCTGCTTCAGATTCTGTATCTCCCTCTGTCTGACCCTCCCCTGCTCACGCTCTCTCTCTCTCTCTCTCTCAGAAATAAATAAAAACATTTTAAGAAATAAAAAAAATAAAAAGTTTTAGTACAGATCCACCTGAACACTTGGGGGCTGATCACACTTTGGTAAATTGGATTCTTTGCACTCTTTGAGTCTGCATTTCAGATCTGCTTTTCTTCATTGCCAACTGGTTCTGGGTTGATAGAGACCCTTCATATTCGATGTGAAGTCTCTACATTCTCCATGGTATGTAAATCAACACTTGAATAGATCAATGGGACTCGCTATTTAAAGGAGTCTCTGGCACACCCAAGAAGCCTTTTGTGCTGCAAATAGCCACCATTATTAAAAATGGTTGCGCTGGCACATTCACTTTTTGCAAGTGTTTTCTTGAAGCAAGGCATCCCCTGTCCTTAGTCCGGTGGGGAGATTGGTGGCTGAAATTGTGAATGGTGGTGTCAGGGTCTGGGGCCCCATTCTCCTTTCCTGGACAGATTTTGCTATCTCTGGGGCACTAATCTCGTCAATTATAAGGACCTGCGCGACTGATTCTGCTCTGAGCTCACAGGGATTTCTGGTTCCTAGAGAGCAAAGATATCATCACCTCCCAACAGCTCCACGATTGGAATTAGCGGAGGCCGATAGCCGGCAGGGGGCGCTGTGGGGCTGCTAATTTCGGAGCCTCTCGCGCCAACCGCAGGAAGCCTTTGAAAGGCCCGCAAATCAATTTCCCACTTTCTCCCAGATCATCACGATTTCTTTCAGAAGTATATTTGCGTCCGTTCTGGGCGGTACAAAATAGAAACGCGGAGGACCCGTACTTGCTGAGCTGGCTCACGTTCACAGTCATTTCTCCCAAGTCCTCTTGAACGTGACATAAGGTGGTCAGGCAGGCAGGGAATGGGGAGGCAGCCGGCAGGTTAGCCAGGTGAGCCCAGGCTCTGCCTGCGGCTGGCAGCTTAACCAAGGGAACTTGGAAAGCCTCTGATCAGGCATGATTTGCTAAGCCCAGCGTGGCCCCAGGACACCCTGATGGGCTGGTCCTTGAAACCCAGTGGGGGAAGCAGATTTCCCCCCAACCACCTCCCAGTTGCACTAACCTGGGGACCAGTGTCTTAAATCAGTTGTGGTGGGGGAGGGGGCGGTTTGTAAGTCCTGTATAGAAATTTGTAAGTTGTTGCTGTTTTTTTTAAAGCTTGGGACACATATGGGCCATTGGGAAGTATGCGGGAAGGCGAGACAGGGAAGTATGGGAAGGTAGCAGTCATTTGGGGCCTCTTCCATTGCTTGTGATTTATATCATAAATACATATGATATATATATGTATATCATACAGAAGCATAACACACACGTGTGCTGGGCAGTGTTTCATTGGCAGGTTGACAGATCCAACAGCAGTTGGATAACGTCCAGCATTAAATGGGAAAAAATGCTAATGTTCATTCTTCAATGTAAAGAGTAAATATTGTAAGTTTCAAGTTTCATTCATTCAGCAAATTTATGTTGAGTTCTGGGCACTGTTCTAGGCATGGGTGAGACAGTGATGGAAACACTGGATACACAAAGTATCCTTTGAGAAGCCACTTAAAAAGGTCTTGGAGGGGGTTGGCAATGTGGATGGGTGGTGGTGATGGGCTTGGGGCAGGGGGCTGCGGGACCATCAGTTAAGGATGGTTAGGGAGGCCTCTGTGGTGTAACATTTGAGGAGAGACCTGAATAAGAGGCCATGCAAAGATCTGTTTGGGAAGAGTATTTGCATGTGCAAAGGCCCTGGGGTATGAAAAGGTATGGCATGTTTGGGGAAGGAAAGAAGGCTGGAGTGTTTGGAGAGTGTTCCACAAAGATGTGGGGGGTGGGAGAAGGAGGCAGGATCACAAAGGCCTCATCATGACCTGTCATGGCAGGAAGTTTGAAGGTCTCGGGCACCTGGGTGGCTCAGTCGGTTGGGCGTCCGACTTCGGCTCAGGTCATGATCCCACAGTTTGTGGGTTTGAGCCCCGCATCGGGCTCTGTGCTGACAGCTAGCTCAGAGCCTGGAGCTTGTCTTCGGATTCCGTGTCTCCCTCTCTCTCTAGCCCTTCCCTGCTCATGCTGTCCCTATCTCTCTCTCAAAAATAAATAAAACATTAAAAAGAAAATTAAAAAAAAAAAAAAAGAAGTTTGAAGGTCTCTTCTATCCAGTGGGAAGCCTCTAAAGGGCTTGAAGCTGCGGAGGATTCAATTTATGTTTTTAAAAGACTGGTCTGGCTGCTGTTAGCAAACGTACCTTTGAGAGAAAAGCCAAGAAACAAGGAGGCAAATTAGTGTCTACTGTAGCCACTTATACCACTGATGAACATGGCTTTGCTCCAAGCGGCAGCTGTAGGTCTGAGATGAAGTTGAAAGTCAAGTCTCACGGGACCACAGGGCCGGCTGCGAGCCGGATGTGCAGCGCAAGGGAGGGGCAGGAGACAAGACAGATGCTTGCGTGTCTGGGTTAAGCCAAATGCTGGTGTCCTCTGTCGAAATGGGAAAGGCTGGAGAGGAGCAATTTCGTCCGAGGCGGGACCCGAATCAAGAGCTCTTCCACCAAGAACTGTCTGTTGTCATTTCTTGCCACTCTCCACGATGCCTCTGTGCTCGGGCCCCTTCTGCATCCTGGCTCCTGCCAGCCTCTGTCTACATTTTCCTCCTCTGTCCTTGTTTCCTTTCTAAAGCTTACTCTGTGTCTTCCCTCCTGCTGCTGACATCCAGGACTTGACGTCACTCCACCCAATGACCCATTACCACTCTGTTATGTTTGCTTCTGTATTGCTTGCTAATTGGTGTTCCTAGAAAGTGTATTTCCTGGCCAGGCAGTAACTGTGGGCACTTTTCTCTTTAGATGTGCAAAGATCACCATCAGTGGGTTGTTTACTTCCTCTTAAGCACTTTGCTTGCAATTAAGGGCCTGGGAGGCAGAGAATGATTTGTGATATCTTGCTTATGGCCTCCTGGCCCCAAAACCCTGACTTGGTGCTGACTTGGGCAAGGGAAAATGGGGGAGAGTATCATATCTTTTGACTCAATTATCCTTTAAAAACAAAAAAACCCAACAACTTGGAAAGCTGGAGATGGCAGTAAAGCCTGAAAATAGGTAGTGTTATGGATTGTGCTTCTAAATTTTCTTTTTAAATGTTTTCTTTATTTTTGAGACAGAGAGAAACACAGCGTGAGCAGAGAAGGGTCAGAGAGAGGGAGACACAGAATCTGAAGCAGGCTCCAGGCTCTGAGCTGTCAGCACAGAGCCCAATGCAGGGCTTGAACTCACAAACTGCCTGAGCTGAAGCCAGACACTCAACCTATGGAGCCACCCAGGCGCCCCTGGATCGTGCTTCTAAAAAGAGAGACACCTGCATACAATTTGGTTCTTTCCGTGCTCCTTCGGGACTGATTTTAATACTACATTTCAGTTCCTAACCTCTCTGAAACACTCTTGTAAGCCACTCAGCACAGAGTCAGCTGTCCTTTCCAGAGGTGAGTGGGGGCTATTCTGGGACTCTGGTCCAACTTAGCATGCAGAACATTTGCAAAGGACCTTGCTTTTTATGGTTTAGGGAGTAATTTTTGTGATCTGGTCTTTCAGAGCTTGTTGCTAACGGAAATTTCCAGTCGATTCTTAGCCCCTTCTTCTCCACGCTACCACAGTCATCCCTTTCCACAGGGCAGAATGGGAAGCAGGGTGTGTATTTCAAATACAGAGTCCCTCCCTGTATCAGAATGTCACATGTAACTAATTATTCAAAGGGATTAATTTCCCAATCCATTTCTTTTGTGTTTGAGGATCTGAGAGAACACGGAGGCTCTGGGGGCTTCATCCTGCTGATAACTTTATCGGAGGTTTGAAGCCCACGTAGAAAGCATGGGGGGACCATTCGGCATACTGACTCTGGAGTCAGAGACCCGAGTCTGTGTGACCTTGGAAAAGTCACTTGCATTTTCTAATCGTCATTCTTCATGTTTCAAATGCTGATGATAACAGGAGCACCTACTTTCTGGGCTGGTCAAAGAGCACTAGGAGACCCCGCAGTGGGAGCACTCAGAACGGTGCTCAGCACACAGAAAGCACTAGGTAAACGTCAGCCATCTTTATGGCCCCCATTCTCATTTGACATAAGGAGAGAGGGGCTGGGAGGACCGGAGTGCCTTTGCCCACGGCCACACAGCTGGTGGGCGGCAGATCTGGGGCGAGAGCCCAGGGCCATCCAGCTTGTGAACCCGCTCTTTGGACCCTGCCACATGCAACGAATCAAGATTTCAAAAGATGGTTGTGCGCTGTGGCGGGAAAGTAAAAACAAAATGCCATTCAATAGGGATCAATGGAAAGGACTTCATTAAGGCCAAGAATATTATTGATGTAAGGAGAGTGATGGACAGACCTGGCTCCGTCATTCTGAAACCACCTGATGTCTAAGAGCAGCAAGTGTATAAGCTTAAGGGGAGGGCAGCATGGTGGTCAGGGCACTGCCGGCCATCTTGGACAGCCTCGGTGTGTCCTGCTCAGGTGGGGGGTGGCGGTTACCATGGCCTCAGCGCAGCTATGATGGGTTCTCTGCTGCACGTGACCAGGTCTGAGAATGACACTTCCAGCAGGACAGGCTGTGTCCTTTTACTAAAGCGAAAGGCTTGGGAAACTAGGTCTTAGGAAGAATGATGGGAAGGAATCAAGACCCCGGAGAGGCGAGTTGGTGGCCTTGGCTACTAGCGGGTCCCTCATTTGGAAGAACTGAATCTGCTTTGGGGATCACTGGAGTAAAACCGGGGTCAAAGCGAAGTGCTAGGAAGATGCCCGTCAGTTACAGCGATGGTAAGATCATGTCGAACAATCCGCACTTCGAAGCACAGAGTGGGCTCTTTTGTGAGGTGATGAGCCTCCCGTCATCCCAGAGGAATGTAAACAGAGTCTGGGTAGCCAGTTTTCAAGACTCCACAGAGAAGAATGACCCACAAGGGGGAAATGTTCTCTGCCATTCACAGTTCGACAAGCGTGTGGTCTGTATCAATAATGCCTCATAAAACCTTTCTGTTTCTACTTTCCGCGATGATTATCACCATCTCCTTCCTCGGCCCCTTCAGGTCGGAGCTTGGCAAAGGGAAAGCAGGAAAACCCCGATGCCACGAGGCAGCAAGGGGGTCTCAATGGCACCTGGAAGAGTAACGGGAAAGCCAGCCCTCTGGGCCAGCCAGGGCTCCTTCCTGATTGGGGGTGACATCGGAGCACAGGTGGGTAACCCCGGGCCAACCCGAGCTGCTCCTACCTGGATTTAGGGCTCTGAAGGTTCTGACGGCTGAGGAGTCGAGCGGCTGAGACCCGCTTTTTGTGGACATTGGACAGACCTGCGGGGAGAAAAACGACAGTCTTCCTGAGATGGTGTTCAAATGTGGCCGGTACAACCCTTCCAGCTTCTACTGACTCTCTAATCACACTTCCACTGTCCTCCAGGGTGAAGCCAGGAGGTGACAGAGAAGACTCTGGGTGGGGTGGGCTGGCGGGCTGTGGAGAAGATGGAGGAAAAGCAGATCTGGTGGAGCTGAGCTGAGAAGAAGAGGTCAGAGTCACACCACCCTGCTGGGGGGAGGAGAGTCCAAGGGCACCTCCCTCTGACAGCGTGGGGTGGGGGCAGGGGGTTTGTTTTGACAGGATTGCACTAAACGAAACCCATCTCCTGCCTTCCCCTCCCCCTCCCGGTCTTGGGTCGGGGGGGGGGGGGGGGGTACCTTGTGTAAGTTCTGGAGCCTCGGCCACGTAGGTGAGGCGGAACTTGTTTCTCTTCCAGCTGCGGTCGTTGCTGATGAGGGAGTTGTTTGCCTTCTCAATGTTGACGTCATCTCCCACGCAGAACACATCACAGGCTGCCTGTGGCACACGCAGGGCTTTCGGTGACCTCTTTCAGCCAAGAGGGGCTCTCCACCCACAGCTCCAAACCATGGTGTGTATCCCTCCATCCATCCGCCCGTCTGTCCATTCATCCTTCCTTCCTTCCTTCCTTCCTTCCTTCCTTCCTTCCTTCCTTCCTTCCTTTCTTGTCAAGTTCATAAGTTCTCCGACTTTAGTGATCCTAAGAACAACTGTTTGGAATTCAGGTTTGGGGCACAAAAGCCATGGATAGTTAAAATATTTCCAAGGGTTGGGGCGCCTGGGTGGCTTAGTCGGTTAAGCGTCCGACTTTCGCTTAGGTCCTGATCTCGCGGTTCGTGGGTTCGAGCCCCGCGTCGGGCTCTGTGCTGACTGCCAGCTCAGAGCCTGGAGCCTATTTCAGAGTCCGCATCTCCCTCTCTCTCTGACCCTCTCCTGCCCACGCTGTCTCTCTCTCTCTCTCCTAGAAATAAATAAAAATATTAAAAAAAAATATTTCTAAGGGTAGCTTTTACCCCTTTTTTTGGCCTAGTATTGATTTTCAGACAATGCAAATGTCCATCTGTGGATGAATAGCTAAACAAAATGATATATACATACAACAAAGCATTGTTTGGCCACAAAAAGCAACGAAGTCCTAGTATCTACACTGCACTGTGGACAAACCTTGAAACATGCTATGTGAAATGAGCTGGTTTCAAAAGACCACATATTATATGATTTCGTTCGTGCGAAATGTCCAGAACAGGCAGATTTCAAGAGGCAGGAAGTAGGTGAGCGGCTGTGAGGACTGGGTGTCTGATGGGAGGGGGCGGTGCTAGCTGAAGGGGATGCTGGCTGGTAACAGACCCTGGCTCTGGGTGTTCAACTGAAATTGGCTGACGGAGTCAACAACCGTAGTTTTCTCAAGGCCAAAAGGGCCGAGTTATCTCAATTTTCCTTGTCCAGGAAGAAATGCAGAACAAGCTTAAGGACACAGCCTGCCCCCATTATTATCCCTCTAGCTCAGGGACTTCAGTTTCCCCTTCTGCTATCTGCATTTGCCCGCAAAATGGAAAATGAGATCTGAATGCGACTTGAATGACAGGAAGCTACAGGATCCCCCTTCTCCTAGGGGTGCTGAAGAGAATGCATTCCAGGGTGGATGTAGGAGCACATGAAAATGTAGGAGCCTGTCCACATTCATGGCTTCCTAGTTTTCCCAGGATGGCCAGTCAAATGAGGCCCCGTTTAGATAGAAGACCGTTATCCATTTATTCCCCTGTGACGTCATGTCTAGAATAGCCCTGCCCAGGAAGGTGCTCCGTCACGATGGGAATGTTCTGGGCCGTCTCCTACAGGAGCCAGCAGCTGCCTGTGGCTACTGAGCATACGAAATATGCAGCCAAGGAATGAGATTTCAAATTCTATCTAATATATATTAGATGGAATTAAAAATTCAATGAAAAATCATTAAAATTTTATACATTTATTATAGCATACTAATGTATTTCATTATTTTATGTGATATCAATATATTTCTGCAATCATGTTATATAGAATACTTCTGCAGTTGTGCAATATAGAGTATTTCTGTCATAATATACGATATTATGTATTATAATTAAACTTTTAATTATTTTTATAGAGAGAGAGAAATTTTTTTTTCTTTTAAAAAAATATTTATTTATTTTGAAAGAGAGAAGGGAGGAGGTGCGAGGGAGAGACAGAGAGGGAGACAGAGAGAGAGAAAGAGAGAGAGAGAGAGAGAGAGAGAGCATCCCAAGCAGGATCTGCTCTGTCAGAGCAGAGCCCAACGCGGCACTTGATCTCACGACCGCAAGATCATGACCCTGAGCTGAAATTAAGAGTTGGATGCTTACACGACTAAGCCACTCAGGCGCCCCTAGGAATTTTTTATGTACCATAAAATTCATCATTTTAAAAGGTACAATTCAGTGGTTTGAGTGTATTTACAAAGTTGCACAACCACGGCCACTATCGAGCTTCAGAACGGCTTCTACCCCCAGAAGAGACCTTGTACCCATTAGCAGTCATTTCCGTTCTCATGGTCCCAGCCCCCGGCAACTACCCCTCCAGTTTCTGTCTGTCTGGATCTGTCTATTCTGGATACTTCATATAAACGGGATCATAGACCTTTCGTGTCAGGCTTCTTCTATTTAGCATGATGCCTGTTACTGCCGCATTCCATCCACATCGTAGCAGGTGTTAGTTCTTCATTCTTTAATAGTTGAATAATATGCCATTGTAGACCCATACTCTATTCATTTATCCATTCATCCAACTGAATGCAAATTCATTTACGTTCACATTTAAATAGTACAAGGGGGTGGGTTGCCTGGGGAGCTCTCCGACTTCAGCTCAGGTCATGGTCTCACAGTTCATGAGTTTGAGCCCCGCGTCGGGCTCTGTGCTGACAGCTCAGAGTCTGGAGCCTGCTTCGGATTCTGTGTCTCCCCCTCTCTCTGCCCCTCCTCTGCTCGCACTCTGTCTCTCTCTGTCACTCAACAATAAATAAAGGTTTAAAAAAAAATAAATAGCACATGGGGCTAGTGCTCTTGCATTGGTCAGCAAAGATCTAGCGCAAGAGGGGTAAGTATGTCAAAGTAGACAAATCGGTAAGATCTGAGCTCCAGGCCAAGGCCCGGCCCCCTGGTTTGGCTAACTTACTTTATGGTTATTTTTGCCTACTGGTCTACCAAATGTGAGTGAGGGATGGATTCCTCCCTGTTCTGAAATTTCAGGAGTACCACGTTTGATAGACCAACTCCTTACCCATAACGCAGGAGGTCAGATTCTGGGTGGAGAATGCGTGTTTTAAGAGCACCCAAACTCCTGTGAGTTGTTGAAAACTGTCTCCTGGCTGGACACATGGGGGGCGGGGAGACCATAGATTCCCTCAAGTTTCTTCCATTTCTAATGGTGTAGACACTCTGTCTTTGGAGGTCGTGGGGGTCATGACCTCCCCCCTTGGTCTCTGGGGTCCAGGCAGGTGGTTACCTTGAAGACCTTCTTGGCCCAGGTCCTGAACGCCTCTTCCTGCCCACAGAGCTCATCTCCCTCCCTCATCTTCAGGATCCTCTCTCCCCCCAGCTCCTCCAGGAGGGTGTCCACGGCGTGTCCAAAGGCGCAGAAATGAGGGTAAGCCCGGGAGCCAAGGCCAAATACGGAGAACCTGCCGGGGAGACAACAGACGTCTGCGTTAGGCGACTGTGGGGCACGAGGGGGTGTCTGGCTTTACGGACTCCATGTCTCCCTAAATTCATATATTTAAACCCTAACCCCTAATATGGCTGTTCTTGGAGATGGGGACTTGAGGTTAAATAAGGTCATAAAGATGGTCCCTAGTTCAATAGGACTGGTGTCCTGAGAAGAAGAGGAAGAAACACCCAGCAGCCCTCTCCCGCTCTGAACGTGCACAGAGGAAAGGCCATGTGAGGGCACAGCAAGAAGGCAGCCATCTGCAAACCAGGAAGAGAGGCCTCAGCACAGACCAATCTCACCGGCGCCTTGATCTTGGGAATTCCAGCCTCCAGAACTGTGAGAAGATAAATATCCGCTGTGGAAGCTGCCCATTCTGGTATTTTGTTACAGCGGCTTGAGCAGACTAACACATCTGGCATCTCCGGAAGGACTGTGTGTGGCCCGCGGTGGTCAGACAGCCCCAAGCCCACCTGGGTTAGGCCCTTGTAAGATCTGGGAGACCTTGGGGCCTCTTCTCCTCTCCATCTGGCCTCTGCAAGGTAGGACCATCCTCAGGAGAAAATTCCCAATGGTCCCAAGGAGGATGAGTAGTTGAGGGATAGCAATGACCCAGAACCATTGTCTATTTCTTGTGTGCCCCTCTCTAAGCTGGAGAAATCAGTCTACTTTACGGGAGGGCTTGAATTCTATAAGGGACACAGCCAGATGAGTGTCAAGGACAAAGGTAATGAAAACCATAAGGCAGCAGTCCTCAGGGACCTGTGTTAACGAAGAGATCAGAAGGACTTGTCAGTAACACATCAAATGTTCGCCGTATATTAACTAACCGGAATTAAAACAAAAGCTTAAACACACACACACACACACACACACACACACACATCAAACGTTGGTGTGTAAACAGGTTCTTCTAAAAGGGGATGAAAGATTTATAAAGATGCTGGCTCCACCCCGTGCGATGTCTATGAAATTAGTTTGCCTCACAAACCCTCTCTGCACGGACACCAGCAGGAAAATGTGGGTGTCTGAATCGGTGGGGGTCCGGCTAATGAGATTTTCCTCTCTGTGAAGGGGGGGCTGCCTTGACTGAAGTATGAAGAGGGGAGGGCTGTGTCCACACGGCCACTCTTCCTAGCTCATTGCCCTACACTCGATGTCACCCTTCAGGGTGACAGCCAGGCTTGGTCCTGGCTGCGGGTCTTGACAGTGCGGCCATTCCATACCGCCTCTGCCTCCCAGTCTCTTTGTTTAGAATGAAGCGGTCAAGTTGGTGAAAGACTGAGCTGGGGAGGGGGTGCAGGGAGGAGGAATGGAAGCTGGGAAGGGACTCCCGTTCTCTCTGTCATTGGACAATGCCCTTGAGATGGGTCCGGGGGTCTCACAGATCAGGTGAAGGTTAGCCTGGGTTAACATCTGCCCCTTTTAATCCCTTTTAACGCATGCTTCCTCTCTGGGCCCTTCTCTCCTGCCCTTCTTTCCCTGGGGTTGTAAAGCCTTTCTAAAGAAAGTAAATGGGATTAGGCAATGTTTCCCCCCTCCCCTCCCCCACCCACCTTCACTCCTACACCCATGCTCTTCCTGGAGCTGGGTGCCTCACCTTTTCCTTCAAGGGCGGGGGTGTAACAGCCAGGAGAGCTGCTAACCAGGAGCAGACTGGTTGGAGGGAGGCTGGGAAGGAGTACTTCTGCCCCAAGCCACCCCCTTAGCCTTAGCCCAGGGGAGACTGGAATTTCCCAGCACCGGTCATGACTTTGTGGTTAAGCTGTTATTCCTCAAGCACGCAATATGTACGTTCACGAGGTCGCCATATGTGACCGCCGCCAATACTATTATTTACTTATTACTGCTGTTTAGCTTGCTTTCAATTTGTCTTCACCCGCTCACCAAAGCCACTTGTGTTCACTAACAGATGGTTCAGGCAATTCATCCATTAATACATTTCCTGGTACACCTGAGGACTTGCCGCCCAGTCATTTCCTAGACTCACGTTTCCAACATGATCTTCATGTTAGGGTTTCAAACGTCCTATTTTAAGCCTCCAAACCAGGAATTGGCAAACTCACTAGACGTGGGGCCAGAGACTAAATATTTTTAGGTTTCTAGGCCAAGAAACAAAATTGAAGCTATTGTGTGGATGCCTATATAACAGAAAGAAAACCAATTACTGCACGTTTTTAATGACAAAATAAAAATTTTTTTAAATTGTTATTACAGTTATTGAGGATGATTTTTTAATAATATGTCTACGTATGAGACTAGAGTTCCTTTTTGGGCGAATAGCGTTTTGTTTAATTGGGGTTCAACGGTAATGGCTTCCATCCTCAAGTGAATTGCCAATGTTCAAGTGTAAAAACCACTCCCAGCTCATGGGTTGTGTAAAAGCATACGGTGGCCAGGCTGGATTGGGTCTGCAGGCTACCGCTTGCCAGTGCCTGCTCTAGGCCGTGACAGATCGAATAAGAGAAAAATGGGTCCGGGGCGCCTGGGGGGCTCAGTCAGTTGGGCATCTGACTTGGGCTCGGATCATGATCTCGCGGTCTGTGGGTTCGAGGCCCGCGTCGGGCTCTGTGCTGACAGCTCAGAGCCCGGAGCCTGCTTCGGGTTCTGTGTCTCCCTCTGTCTCTCTGCCCCTCCCCCACTCATGCTGTCTCTATTTCTCATAAACAAAAAAATTTTTTAAAAAAAGAGAAAAATGGGTCTGACTGTCAAAGTGCAAAACTGATGTTTCGACGTTAAGCTAAAACAATGCACTGATGTCAAACCCCACAGAAAATAACACCAAGATGAACCCTGATGTGCATATGCACTTTGTGTGATAATGATGTGCGTAGTGTAGGCTCAGCAACTGTACAAATGTACCACTCTGGATAGAGATGTCAGCGGTGGAAGAGGCTGTTTTTGTCAGGGGAGGGAATATATGGGACTTCTCTGTGTCTTCCTTTAAGTTTTGCTGTGAACCTAAAACTGCTTGAAAAAAATAAAGTCTATTACAAAGTACACTACAGGGCATAATACTTCCACATTCAGGACCCCTTGTGTCATGTATTATCTACTAAGCATTGAACTGAGCAGGTGTGAGAAGGTTCCGTTAGCAAAGGTCAGAGAGATTGGCGGCCGGGCCCGGATGCTCAGTGTATATCAGCCTTGTCTTCGCTCACGTCTGTGAGACCAGGAGCCTGCAGTTTTCTTTCCTTCCAAATGCTCGCTGGACGGCATGGGCAATTCTTAAAGTATAAACTATCTGTCCGTATCCCACCTAAAATGATCTGGTATGTGGTCACTGGGCTTTGGTAAACGGGATTAGCCAGTCTGACTACACATTAGAGTCACTTGGAAAATTAAAGAAAAAAAGAAAAGGCACTGCCTGGGCCCCAGTCTAGACCAATAACACCAGAGTCTCTGGAAATGGGGCTTGGTTATCGGTATACTGCCAACATGTCCAGATGATTTTGATGTGTGTCCGGGGTTGAGAACCACTGGGGCCTGGCAGAGTGTCTCCAGAAGTTTCTATCCGGTGTAACATATCACCGGGAAGGGCAGCTTGCTGAGAAATCTCTAGGGATTCACATCCTTCGGCACAAACGTGTACTGATGATGGGGTGAGATTTGGGTGATGGGGCTCTGAGCGAGTGTGTACACGAAGGGGTCTCAGTGCTGTGTTTTCATAGGGTGAGGGGGGTCCCTGGATAGCTAGAGTGCACGGGTTATTCGAGAGATGGACAGGAATATGAGGGAGACCCCTGAAGCCCACTTTGCAAATAAATCCAGGCCCCCAAAGATGTCTTCCCTGATGCCCTTGACCCCTGCTCACCTCACATTTGCCAGGGGTCCAGCACTCTCAAAGTTGTCTCTGAGGTCTGGCCCATCGCCGGAGGCCTTATGGGAGTCCGAATACGAGGAGACGCTATTGAATCGGACCTTGTAGCTCCTGTCAAAACAGAAGAGGCCCTGTGAGCTCTGGCTTGGAACCTTCTCCCGAGGTCAACACCCCAAGGGATCTTCAAATGACCAGTCCTGTTTCTAGGACCTTCCTGTGCATGTTGAGACCGTAACACTTCTATGGATGCTTCCGGAATGGATCAACTTCCCCACATCCCCCACGAGCGCTAGCCATCCATGCATAACACTGCTTGTGTCTAAGAGGTTTCCAACCGTACCCAACTCCTCAACTCCGGGATCTTGTGAGCCAGACAGCCAAAATGATTTAATTGGCAAAAAGTCATAAATAAGATCAGACCACCCCCTAACCATGAGAGAACGCTTCATTGCTTCCCAGATTTTAACAAGCCCAAGAATCATCTTGGGATGCTGTTAAAATGTGGGTTCTGATTCGGCAGATCCCGGCAGGGCCTAAGGTTCCACATTCTAAGCACAATACAGCACCCAAGAGGCACTAAAGCTGCTGGTCCCCAGTCCTCACTTTGAGTAGCCAGGAACTAAGTGGTGTGTCCACTCGGGTATCTACGGGTGGCTTGATTCAAAATAAATACATTTAAAAATTCTCTTCCTCACTTGCACTGGCCACACGTCAGGTGCTCAAGAGCCGCGTGTGGCTAGTGGCTGCCCTCTTGGGTGGCCCAGACATACAGCATTCATACCACCCCCGAAAGTTTGATCAGATCGTGCTGGACATCTCCCACCCAATACACTGTCTTCATCAAGTGATGATCCTTGGATGTTTCAAGGATCTGTCACATTTCCCATTTCAAGTAAATGTGGGAAATTTTCCGCACTGAGACGCGGCATGAAAAGAGACTGAATTTTTTATTAAACTACTGGGAAGGGGAAGAAAGATGTCATTGGAAATTAGATCTCAGTTCTGAGCCACGGGAACAAGAGGCTCAGGAGCGCCAAGACATCAAAATAAGATCCCGTTTCCGTGGATTCCTCTAAAAGTGTTGTTCTCAGACAAGGCGAAAACAAAGCAAAAACAAGAACGAAATTCCCAGACCAAAAAACAAAACAGAGCAACTCCTCCCAAGGCAAGAGACCGAAAGCAAAACATAACAGCTCAACAGATACATGTGAGCACAGAGGACGCACACACAAACAGACAAAAAGACATCGTGCATTCTGGTAGCTGGATGGTCTTCAAAGTTTTTGTTCCAGCATCAGGAAAGTTCTAAATATATGTAAGTGTATTTTCTGCCCGAAAATAGTCTCACACTGAGTCACTTCTCCAAATAAGTCATGCAACATCCCAGGGGTGGCTGTGTTGTTAGTGTGGGAGGGACAGTTGATGGTTGTGGGTTAAAAATAACAGCACGTGTATTTGTGTGAGGCTTGAGGTTTTTCCAAATGCTTTCCTCTTTGTTTTTCTCCTTTGATCCTCTCAGCCAGTCCCAGAGATGGTCAGGGCACAGATGGGTTCTCCCCATTTGGCAGATGAGAAAGACTGAGGTCCAGAGAGGTCAAACGCCTTCCTCAAGTCTGCTTAGTGAGTTAGTGGCACAGCCTGGGTTAGAATGCGGGTCTCAAGGAGACCCGCATGTGGCTCTGGATGCTTGGGTGGGCATCAGGCATGTGTGCACACGTGCACAATCATATCTGCATGCACACTTGTGCATGCACGCCTGCACGCATATGTGAACACAGGGCATATACATGTGCACGCAGATGGACACACATGCGCGCACACATGTACACACGCACACACCTGCACACAGGCACACACATGCACACATGCATACACACATGCACACACATGCACACGCTACCTCTGCTGGCTGTCACGGGCTGCAGCCAGACCATGGACTTCTGTGTCACCTTGGGGGAGGGGAGGCCCTTTACGGGGAAAGAAACGCAAGGGTTCCGGGTACCTAGAGGGGAGAATGGATGGTGCCCTCTCTCTCCCTGAAGGAGGGGTGAGGGGGAGCCTGTGATGGCCACCTGGGAAGGAGATGGGCAGGGAGAGCCAGGACTAAGGTGCTCACGGTCAAAGATGACTGATCGCGAGGGACTCAGATACCCCCTGGATATGGAAGGAACGGATGTGAGTTCGGCAACAGGTGCATGGCTGAGAGAAAAGCGGGAGAGGCTTTCTGCAGACCACGGCCCGCGAGCACCAATGGGCTGTGGCGTCTGCTCTGCTCCATGTTCGAGCAGACGCTGTGTTCATGGAAAGACAGCTCAGCATGCACTCGCTGTACGTTCTCTACTTTATGGGGATTTACCGGGCTTCGCAAGGGTAATCATGATCACAGGTATTTGTCACCTTAGGAAATATCTTTAGAACCCAACCCAACACTGGGATGCAATTTCACCATGTACATCTTTTGGCTACAGGCTTTTTTATTTTTTTATTTATTTTTGCCTTATGAGGTATCCTCTGAACTCAACCTCTACATTAGCTACAACTCCACCGTGAGCATCAGATGGAAAAGCTCTAGGGAAAGAAGCTTATTTTCGCTGCTTTTGAATGTAGGTTTCCAAAGAGGAAAGATAATAAGAACCAGTATTTACATGGGGCTCCTAAGTTTTCATAAGACGCTTATTATCTATTTTCTCCTTTGATTCTTACAAGAAGTTAAGGCAGGTATAATAAGCCCCATTTGATGGAAAAGGAAACTGAGGCCTGGGGTTGTGAAGTTACCAGAGAGGCCAAAATGTCAGCGTCAGTGAACCCCAGACTCCCACCGGCTAAAACTGCTCACAAATGGGCTGGGTCACCCAACCCAGCCGGGACCCAAATGTGAACCCCAGGTGTCAAAAGATGCTTTTCAGTTACCCCCACAGTGTGTCATATGACCCTGGAGCATCATTCACTTACTTCCTTTCCTCGTGCATGGAATTGGGGTGCCTCATTTCCATCAAAGCACAGCCGAATTTCTGGAAGCCAAGAGAAGAGTAAAAATGTGAAGCATGGATTTATGAACCCAGAATAGGGTAGGGCACTGAGCGTCTGGGGTCCTGGCTGGTACAAGGGGAGCCTGATGCCTCTGGGGACCAGGATGTCAGAGACGGTCAGGGGTTCAGGCTGGGCAGCAGGTGCATGTGAAAGGGCCAGCTGATTAAGGGACTACAGAATGTGGCCCCTCCGCCCCCCGGCACACCAATCCCCACTGTGGCTTTCTCTTGACAAAATTTTGTCCCTACTTCTCTCATCTGGAGCAGGGGATGCCAAGCTCTTGACGGGATCATCCGTTCCCAAGAAGTAGCTCACGGAGGCGATAGCACTTTCACTAAAGATTGGCTCATCTGTGGGGACCAATAGACTGAGGTCTTAGAACGGTCCATGTAGAACTTGGATCCAAATCCAAGTCCCGGGCTTTGAGGCTCTGGGAGGATCTGCTACTGAACGGCAGCCCTTCCTTCTTCCCCTTGTTGGAGAACATGCTAGAACAGGTGAAGGCTCATCTCACCTCCCCATTCTCTGGGGGGTCTCCGTTGCCAAAAGTGCTGGTAACCACCAAGACTAGAGTTTCGTGTTCCAGGTGTACAATGTCGTATTCTTCCATGGACATCACCTAGGTGTGCGAGGGGGAAAGGATGGTAGGGAAAGAGGAAGTGAGGTGGTGACAAGGTAAGAGAGAACAAAAAGTGAAGGAGAAGAAGAGAGACAGAGGAAAAACATGAGTCATTTTGAGCCATGTCCTTTGGAAAAAAACCAAAGTTCGGGGTGTCACTATTTCAGTGGGCTCCAGTGGGTAGCGTGGGACCTTTCTTAAAGTCACAGTGGCCTGAAGGACCCCAAAGAACCTGCGGCAATGGTGGAAGGCGCTGGCTGCTAATAGAGACAGATCTTAATCGAGAACGTTGGGTTTCTGATAACCAACTGATCCTGGAATCTTCCTGACCACTTTCAGGCTGGGAACGGCCTAGCCGGGCCTGACCAGGTCTGCTCAGCCTCCTTGCTAATCCTCGCTCCAGCAGCATGGGACCTGGCCCAAATAAGTCTGAGATCCCTGCCGTGAGGAAGATTATTGCCCTCTACCTTGGCATCTTCAAGGAGGTTCTAGGGAAGCCCCGTTTCCCAAGAGGCTGCTTGAAAATAAGCGACCCACGCACAAACATGTTTATATTCTATCCCCTTCTCACTGGGAGATTAGAATACAGTTGACCTCGAACAACATGGGTTTGAACTGCATGGATCCAACTTAAATGTGGATTTTCTCCAATACATATAGTACTGTCAATGCATTTTCTCTTCCTTATGGTTTTCTTAACATTTTCCTTTCTCTAGCTTACTTCGTTGTAAGAATACAGTAATAACATATGTGACATACAAAACAGGTGTTAATCAACGGTTCACGTTATCAGGAAGGCTTCTGGACAGCCAGAGGCTATTGGTAGTTACATTTTTGGGAGTCAAAAGATATGTGTGGATTTCCAGTGCCCCTATCCCCCATCTTTCTCAACGGTCAACCGTACAGACTTGCAAATTCAAGGCTCCGAGAAGTCATTCAGCAAAGAAACCCACTGCACTGTGTTTAATACAGAGCTTCCCAAGCTGACCCTAGAATGTTTTTTTTTTTTTTCATAAACCCTCTAAGATTTTGCTCTGAGATGGGGTTTCATTTTGTGGACTCCCAGACTCGTGGAAGCTCACGGGAAGAGGGGGCATCAAAGTCCCCTGAAATTTACGAGGATGCGCATATGCATGCCGATGGCTACCTTGGGACATGCTTTCACGCATTCTCAAAGGTTCATCTCTGTTGACTTCCCTCTCTCCCCTTCCCAACTATATACACCATGGGGCCAGGGAGCTGGCGCTTCCCCCTACCCACCTTGGCATCAAAGGCATGTTTGAAGATCTCACACAAGGTTTTAGCATAGGCCTGCGATTTGCCCGTCTCTGTGGCATAAAGGATGGTCGCCTTGACCCTCTTGGCCATTGCCTGCCCCATGAGTTTGGCTGAGAACTTGACGGCTCTGGAGAGAAGAGGATGGAGAGGAAAATGGGAAATGTAGAAAAAAGGGATGATGCTAGGCTGGGACTTTGGGGCAAGAACCATGATCCTTGAAATGTAATGGGAGGGAACTTAGTCTCTTGATCTCTGGTGGTTTTAGGGACATTAGAAGCCTGAGTTTAGCACCATACTGACTCGTCATGAGCTAACATGGTTTTGTTAGTTTGTTGCTTGGTTGACCAATCCCAGTCTTGAGAACTTTGGCTTGCCAAGCGTTGCCCCCAAAGATAATCATTCATTCATTCATTTGTTCATTAATCAAACATTTGTTGAGTGCTCAACCATGTGCTAGGCATAGTTATAGGAGCTGAAGGACATAGCCAAGTATCTGTCACAGGGCTTATATTCATGTGTGTGTGTGTGTGAGAAAGAGAGAGAAAAATAGAGAGAATCACTAATAAATCACCAGGCATTGAGTCAGAAGGAAATTTAGAGGTTTACAGATCCACAAAGGAAGGACTAGCCTGGTTTAGTCAGGCTTGCATATTCTGAGTCCTGCACAGAGTCTGCTATCAAATAGGTGCTAAACAAATATCAAAAGAAGGGATGAATTTTATTTTATTTTTTTTTCTTTCATAGTTTATTGTCAAGTGGGTTTCCATATAACACCCAGTGCTCATCCCCACAAGTGCCCTCCTCCATGCCCATCACCCACCTTCCCCTCTCCCCCACCCCCATCAGCCCTCAGTTTGTTCTCAGCATTCAAGAGTCTCTCATGGTTTGCCTCCCTCCCTCTCCCCAACTATTTTTCTCCTTCTCCTCCCCCATGGTCCTCTGTTAAGTTTCTCCTGATCCACTTATAAGTGCAAACATATGGTATCTGTCCTACTCTGCCTGACTTATTTCGCTCAGCATAACACCCTCAAGTTCCATCCATGTTGCTACACATGGCCAGGTTTCATTCTTTCTCATTGCCATGTACTATTCCATCGTGTAGATAAACCACATCGTCTTGATCCATTCGTCCATTGATGGACACTTAGGCTCCTTCCATGAGTTGGCTATTGCTGAGAGTGCTGCTGTGAACACTGGGGTACATGTGCTCCTATGCATCAGCACTCCTGCAAGGGATGAATTTTAAAGATGCTGCTACCACCAGAGCCCTGGGGAGTTGAAATATCAAGTCTAGGCTCTTCCTCGAAAAAACGGAGAATTCAGAACCAGTGTTCCTTTCTTCCCATCTACAAGGGCGTGAGGTGGCCAACCAGTGGCTCAGGAATGCCTGGGCCTCACCTGAGCCAGCGTGACAAATCGCTAATTACCCCCACCTGGGGATTTTTGATGGCAAATTCATCAATAATTTTTTAGAATCAGGGAAAACCACCCACGCTGCAGGAACACTCCGAACCAAGAGGGGGAAATAGAAAAGAATAAAAGGTGCCTGGAGGATTCCCTTTGAATGACTAGAGCACGAAAAAGCATCTATAATTAACTCCCATTGTTTCTACCCCTCACTTAATAGTGCAATTAATGTTTTAGATTTTTTTACCCCCTTCTGCCAGAAACAGTTGAACTGAACTGAAGCCAAAGGCTGCCCTCCCTGAGAATATCTGTGATTCTCTTGTTAGGGAAAGAATGGGTGCTGATGTGTTCTCTTCTGGCTGGAGATCAGGGTAGGTGGAGGGAGAGAGAAAGGAGGGAGAGGGGGAGACAGGTGCTATGGGCCGTGTTAATGGAGCCGGGATCCAGGCTGGAGTCCCTGCAGGATCCACAGCCCTTGCTTCTGGGGTCTAGGGAAAGGATGCCACCTGTTGCACATCTAGGGATTGTATCCAGAGAGTTCTGGGCCCAAGAGGGCTGATGGGGAAGAGCAGCTCGGTGCATACCTAGCTTCTCTGCCAGAAGGTTAACTCCAAACAGGGGTCCCTGCTGAGTGGGCCAGTGAAATTAGTTTTCTTTAGGAGAAGGCTGGCAGCCCCCTTCGGTCATCTCGGTCAGCCCCACCTCACTTGTCAGCGGGTCCTTTGGCTGGCCACACATTCTTCAGGACCATTACTCTCCAGTGGCCTTGGCCCATAAGCCCCCTTCCCTCCCCTCCTTTGCTCAGGTTAGTCTAGTCATCTCATTCTTCAGCCCACTTGGCATCCTCTGAAGGAAGCCCTCTGACCTCCTAATGGGGTTAGGTCTATTTACGGCACCATGAAATCACTCCTTGATGGCACTTGCAGTGTTTTCTGTATTTGTGTGACTCTTCGACAAGTGAATGGCTTTGAGCTTTGACAAGAACGTCATTTATCTGTCTCATCAGGCATCACTGGAACCTAGCATGGTGCCTGGCACAGAACAGGCCCTCGGTGTTCATTTGTTGGCCGAATGAATGAATGAATGAATGAGTGAGTGATGTTAGAATTCAGCCCTGGGTGAGAGCCCTCCGGAGTTGACTTGTCCCAGCTCCTCCCTCCTCTGGGTTCAGCGACTTCCTGTCAGGAGCCTGAAATTGGCCATAGGGGGGAGTACTGATACCATGGAAATTGGCAAATGTTATGAATCTGTTGTTATTATTATTACCGTTATTATTATTTTTAGGAGAGCTGGTTTATCAAAATGTCATTGCCTCTAAGACAAGAATTTAGGAAACAGAGGTGAGGAAAGTGAGGTTGGGAAGGAAAAAAGTTGAAGCAACATCCACATCTCAGACCCTGAGGCAAAGAAGGCACGAGACAGTCAGAGAAAATGGAGAACTCGCATCGCACAAGAGGTCAGAGGCATAGGCCTCTGCCCAGCCTCCTTTTCTGGGGCTCCCTGAGTTGGGGGTGCTCCCATTCCCCACCCTCCATTTCCAGGAGACTTACTCTGCCAGCTTCTTGAAGCCGATGGCACGCCGCTTTGTGGGGGTTCCATTGGTGCCTTTCCAAACATGGGTGTTCCAAGGCTCAGGCTGGGAAGAGAAGACTACAGTCACTGTGAGCGGATCTGGCTCCTCTTGGGAGAGGCTCCGGACTCCTTGGGTGCTTGTGGCTGACCAGCTGTGCCCAACCCTCAGCCCCTGAAGGGAATAATTCTGCTGGTGGTGACCCCAGCGAACCTGGCACAGAGTGGCTGGTCCAGTCTGCCTGCATCGTCCTGCAAGACCCTCCCACTCAGCCCTGGGTCCCTCTAAAACACTCCTGGGGACCACTGACTATTCCTTTGTCTCCATTAGCCTTTTAGCTAGAGCTGTGCTATCCAATATGGCAGCCGCTAGCCACATGGACAATGGAGCCCACGAGTGTCCACAGAGGAAGTCTGAATTGAGACACGCTTGAAGCCAAACATGCATACCAAGTATTGAAGACTTAGCACAAGAGAGACAGGAAGGGTCAGGACCTGGTACTCGAAGGAGGGGGTGAGTCGGTAGTTGAGCATCTCCTGGTGGAAGACGGGGGTGATGCTGCCAGACATGGGGGGCACGATCCACACCCAGTCGGCGGGGCAGCCCCCCCGGCAGCGGTATTCATTCTCCATGTGCTTAATGAAGGACTCGGTGGCAGAGTGGTGGTCAACGATGGTCACTTTGTCACTCTGCGGGAGGAGAGGGGGTAAAAGTCAGGCAGGAAGGGGAGCTGGGGTATTTTTGGGGACTCCCTTCTCCGTTGAACAGTGTTTCCCAAAGGGTGGTCCCCGAGATGATGTGAGGCCCTGTAAACTGATTCTCTGCATTTCTCTCTCAATTATATCCAGGGGAGATTCCCCTTTTCATGTTAATACACCTTTTAATACCTCATTTGCCAATTTTTCTCTCTCCTTGCTCCCTCCTTTCTTTTTTCTTTTCTTTTCTTTTCTTTTCTTTTTTTTTAGCAAGTTTTAGCAAGTAAGAGAAAGCTCAGGCAGCATTTAGCTAGAATTTGACAACTCGGTGTTGTTTTCCTTGTGTTTATTTGCTTATTAATTTAATATTATAATTACCTTCTATTTATGGCAACTGATACTAATTCCATTTATGGCAGTGATACAAAATCCTCTTAAAGTAAAATATTTTAAGTACTAAGGATGGGTTTATTTATCCATTTATTTATTTTTTGAGAGAGAGAGGGCACAAGTGAGTGAGGGGGGAGAGAGAGAGAGAGAGAGCGAGCGAGCGAGCAGCAGGGCTCATCTGAACTGGGGCTCGTGTTCACCCGGTGTGGGACTTGAATTCCCTAACTGTGAAATCACAACCTGATCCAAAGTCCAATGCCTTAACTACTGAGCCACCCAGGGGCCCCAAGGATGGGTTTATTAAAACCAAAACACAGAAATCGCAGTAGCAGTGGGTGGGCTGCATATCGGGATAACCGGTCCCTGGGGCCCGCTCTGGTCGGCCAGTCTGGATTCACACCTTGTCTAAACAGCGCTTTCCCTCTCTGGCTACTTCCCTGCCTCGATCACTCAGCCTGCTCACTGCTGTCTCTGGCTCCCTGGTCCGCATACCAGTCCCCCAAGCCCACTGAGCCATGCTCCATCCTCCTCAGCATCTCCCGAGACCTCACTCCTCCACAGCTGAGAGAGAAGTGGGGGCTCCCTTCCCATCTCAGCCTGTCTCTTCCCTGGAATATTCCTCAGAGTATCCATTCTCCCTACTCCTGACACAGAGGCCTGCAGTTCACATTCACGTCCACCCATGACTTGATGCGTTCATTCTGTGTGTGCCTTCCATGTGTGTCTGGGAGGGTCTAGCTTCCCAGACTCAGCCCCCAGAAGATAGAGCTGGTCTCTGCTACAGAGAGTGAGCTCTACTCTGTAGTCTTCTGGTTTGCCCAGGAAAATACCATCAGCATTGTGCCCATCACGCTGGCACTATTATTAGCAGTGTCTTCCTTTCGCTCTCAAAAGTATCATGCCTTGGGGTGTCTGGGTGGCTCAGTCAGCTAAGCGTTCAGCTCTTGATTACAGCTCAGGTCATGATCTCACGGTTCATGAGTTCAAGCCCCGCATTGGGTTTCTCTCTCTCCCCTTCTCTCTGCCCCTCCCCCTGCTTGCATGCATGCTCTCTCTCTCTTAAAATAAATAACATAAACTTAAAAAAGAGTATCATGGTTTAGATGATAAATTCTACAGCCATCCTCCAGAATTACCACAGAGCCACGCAATGAGGAGCCTGTATGAGTCTGGTTAATGAGGACGAGTGTTTGTGTCCGTTGTGTGACAGTCTGAACCCCAAAGAGGTGGCCAGACACAAAGGACGCTTGCGATCCCAATTCTAATAAATCATCGGCAACTGGTCACGGCTGCCCCTCCCCCATCTACCTATCTCTTCCTCAAATGGTCCCCACCCAGGATCCAAAATGGAGATGGAGATCAAAGCGTACATAATGGGATGTGGACCTCGCTGGTGGACAGATCCNCCCCCCCCCCCCCCCCCCCCCCCCCCCCCCCCCACCAGCCAGGTCTCTTGACCGTCTGCTCCAAGCCTCGGAAGCGTTTTAGTTTCACCTTGGAGGACTGAACCAGGATGGGTGTGCTGTGCTACCTGGAAACTGTAGAGGACAGCAATGTTGATTTCCACCAGCGCCTGGTCCTTCCACAGGGAGGACGTCTTCCTCATGTCCAAGTTCATCTTCTTGGCCACTTCCTGAAAGAGGAAGGAAACACAGACTCACAGGCTGGGCACTTGTGGAGAGGCAGGGCTAGCTAGTGGCACCAATGAATGTCTTAACGAGTGAGTCAACTCATTGCCGGGCTGGTTAACTCACTCAAAAGATTTTTTTTTTTTTTTTTAGTTGAGACCCTACTGGTAGCAGGAAACTAGAGAGACCTGGGTGGCCCTTTTATTTGTGAGTTTCCCTTCTAGTGGTGGAGAGAGACAGTTAATATTAGGATGAGAGCTAATTCCTTGGGAGAAAATAAGGCAAGGAGATGAGATGAAGAGGGATACGCAGGCTGGATTGAGCCAGGATAGTCAGGGAAGGCCGACTGAGGAGGCGGCACTCCAGGTGAAACCAAAATAATGAGAAGCAAGACATCTTCAGGTCTACAGCGGAAGTTCTAGGCAGCAAGGACAGCATGTGCAAAGATCCTGTGGTGGGATCAGGCTTCCACCATCTGAGATACAGAAAGAAGGCTGGTGTGTTTGAAGGGTGGGTAGGGAGTCAAGGGAGTTGGTGGGAGAGAAAGCCTGGACTGGATTGGATCATGCAGGATCTGGGATGAGCCAAGGAGTCGGGATTTTATTCCCAATACTGTATCATGGAAAGAGTCTTTGGAGGGTTTTAAGCAGAAGAGTGGGTCTGAGAGTGACATCACCCACCTTCTAGAAGGACAAGCTTTTCCCACTGACCCTGCTCTAAGCCTGGAGTAGCTACACTTGGGATCCGGATCATGGGTGCTTTGACCTCAGATGGACACCTGCCTGACTCCATCTCACAGAAGAGGAAACTGAGGCTTAGAGAGGTCCGCAGAACCAGCTGGCCTCAAAGCTGGGGCCCAGGCAGATGCATAATGCCCAAGGACCCGCGAGCTGCTACCATAGCCGGCCCACTCCTGTGGCAAAACTACTGGAAAAAACCACAGCAACTCCTGACATTTATGCTACGGCTCAGGAGCTGATGTCAAGAGTTGGGGAACACCCAGCAGCAAATTCATTAATTAGAGCCTCGCTGTGCTTTCCTCTGTCAGTTCCAGTCACTTGTGGGAGCCCAGGTCTCATTATGGGGCTAGCATGCGACAGTTTCTCAGGTTTGGGTAAACCGCTTCCCAGGCCTGCTGTCACCAGTTGTAAATAACAGCCATCGGGCTTGAAGGGCTGGGGCGGGAGACGATCTCATTTAAGTTACTCGGGGATGACTCTTTGCAATCGAAACGTAAGCAGGGATCATGAGAGCAGAGCTCATGTTAATTCATTCTTTGAGGCCGAGGCATTAGGTTCTGCTATGGCCCTTTTGGCAGTGACACATACACACAAAGAATGAAATTTGCTGCTTTACATAAATACATAAAAACCTCGAGTTACATTATGAGAGAGGAAATCGTGTGTAGCCATTATGCTGCGACTGTTACTTCTAGAGCATTCTTTTGCTTAGAAGAATGGAAAGCATTAGCAGAAAAAAAAAAAAAAAGATTATATGATTTTTTTAAAATCCCCGAATGTGACTTGAGGCACATCTATGGAAATTGCCTGAAATGTCTCTTCGTTTCCTGCCAGAAGTTTGGACAGATCAGTGGCTGCCCAGTAGAATCTTCTGGGGGAACCTCTGAAAAATGCTAGTATCTAGGCTCTGTCCCTGCACGATGATATCTGAATCCTGGTGAGTGGGATTCAGGCATCATAAAGTTCTGCAGGTAATTCAAGTGTGTGGCAAGGCTGAGGATCCCTGGCTTCTGTGTCCAAGCTAATACCCGTGGAATTAAAAAAAAAACAAAACAAAACTTGGGACACAGTTGGCATATGACATTGTGCGAGTTTAAGGTGTACAAACGTAAGGTTTTGGCTTGATACATTTATATACTCCAATATGATTACCGCTGTTAGCTAACACCTCTGTCGTGTCACATAATTATTATTTCTTTTTCTGTGGTGGGAACAATTAAGATCTAGTCTCTTAGCAACTTTGAAGTTTATAATTCAGTATTGTGGATTATAATTACCGTTCTGTGCATTAGATTTCCAGAACTTATTTATCTTTCTGCTACAAGTTTGTACCCTTAAACATCTCCTCCCTAACTCCCCCACACACCAGCTCCTGGTGACCAGCGTTCTATTCTCTCTCTCTTTTTTTTTAGGAGTTTGGCTTTTTCAGATTCCACATGTAAGCGGTAGCATACAGTATTTGTCTCTGTCTGACTTAACCCACTCAGGGTAATGTTTCCAAGGTCCATCGACATGAACACCCGTGAATGTTAACAACATCAACCTAATGCTTGATTCTGGGTTCTTTAAAAAAATTTTTTTTTAAATATTTTTATTTATTTCTAGGAGAGAGAGAGAGAGAGACAGCGTGAGCAGGGGAGGGTCAGAGAGAGAGGGAGACACAGACTCTGAAACAGGCTCCAGGCCTGAGCTGGCAGTCAGCACAGAGCCCGACGTGGGGCCCGAACCCACGAACCGCGAGATCATGACCTAAGCGAAAGTCGGACACTTAACCGACTAAGCCACCCAGGCGCCCCTAAAAAATTTTTTTAACGTTTATTCATTTTTGAGAGACAGGTAGAACAGGGGAGGGGCAGAGAGAGAGAGGGAGACGCACAATCCGACACAGGCTCCAGGCTCCGAGCTGTCAGCACAGAGCCCGACGTGGGGTTTGAACTCATGAACTGTGAGATGCCCTGAGCCAAAGTCAGATGCCCAGCCGACTGAGCCACCCAGGCACCCTGTGATTCTGAGTTCTAATCTTCACTTATTTACTGTGTGACATAGGCCCAGGGCTTAACCTCTCTGTTTCTTAGTGCCTCCTTTCGAAACAAGACCCACCACCGCAGACACTTGTTAGGGATAACGGCGTCTGGCAAGGCCACGACTATCCCAATGCACTCGCCAGATCCGAGCTCCAGACTCCATCCCAGCAGCCTTTAGCCGACAAGGATGACTCAGCCAAGAGGGAATCAGACCCTCCACCCAGAAACACGGATGCTGGGGAATCACTGCCAACCCCCTCCCCCTTGTTTTTCAGGAAAGAGGCAAGAAATGTCCCAAGTTCATGAGTCACTTTCAAACCCTTCCAACGAGAGGCTGTGTAGCCGGGTGGTTATGAACTTGGACCACAAAGCCAGACTGTGACTTTGAGCTGCTCACTTTAACCCTCCCAGAGGCCTCAAGTTCCTCATCTGTGAAATGGGGGTTATCTATCATACCTGGAGGCTGTGCCGAGATGAGCTAAGCATGTGACACAAAATGCCGTGAACAGCGTGCGCAGTCCACGCCGTGGGCGCCCTGAGATCACCAGGGGCCTCACCGTGGCTGCAGACATTTCCAAGTTTCCTAGCCCCAAAGCTCAGCTGGGGGGCCCACCCCCCTGCCCTCTGCTGGCCTGTCATGATGGCCGCGGAGGGACCTCACCTCCAGGATGTTGTATCGAGAGTTGTCACAATAGTCGCGGACGCCAATCTCCGTGCCCATGTACCAGCCGCTGAAGGGGCAGGCGCTGAACTCCAGGCCGCCGATCTCCAGCAGCATGCTGGACACAGCGGGGAGGCCGTACCACTTCAGGCCCAGCTCCTTGAACCACTCAAACCTGTGCAGAGTGACATGGCCCAGCTCACCACGGGGCAGTCCCTCAGGCAGACATGTGGGCGGGACAGCCTTAGTCTGGGGATGTGGAAATGCCAGCACCCTCCTGGGACTTGCTATTGTCAGAACCGGACTCCTGGGCTCTGCTTTAGACCTGAGGGATCACGGGCTCCATGGCTGGGTCTGATGATAGGCATGTTTAACATGCTTCCCAGGTGATTTGGGTGAACATCCAGGCCCGAGAACCAGTGCACCGGCCGGGCTGCTGTTTTTCTCCCAAACCCACTCTTGAAAGTTAATCCAGGAGAAAAGGGAGTTTGCTGAATTCCTTCCTACCTCAGGGCCTTTGCATGGCAGTCCCTTCCGCCTGGGATATTCATTCTTCCTTCTGTGTCTGTCCAGCCCTTACCCAAACGTTAATTCTCAGCTAATGTTGCTTACTCTTCGAAGGCTTTGCTGATGCCCAGTTTAGGATGTGTCAGGCAACTATGATGCCCCTGTGCACCATAAAATTTCTTTTGCAGCACTTTACTGGAATTAAGTGGCTATTTGGGTAACAGTATGTGTAAATTCTCCCCCTGGAGTTCGAAAGCGTCATGGAGGCAGAGACCAAGTCGGCTACGGGGGCCGGCCCAGGGCAAGAATAATAAACTGTGCTGAACAAGCGAATGAGTAAGTGAATGCGTTAATGAATGGTATGCCAGGTTTCACCACGGAGACTGGGTGAGTTCCCAGATATTGGGCAGTGTCATGGCCTCAGGACACCCCCTCCCTCTCCAGGGCTGGGACTGGGGTGAAATAAGCAAGCCACTAGCCTTGGGTGCAAAATCTAAGGGTGCACCAACAGGCCTAGGAATTGAGTCCAATACTGCTTTTGATTTACATTATATTCCAAATTAACTCAACGTTTTTCAAAAAATCACAATCAATGCAAAAAAAAATCCACTGTGAACAAAATATCCAAAATTTAAATGAAAACGGGTCTCACCTTGCACAGGCCTGACTCACCTACTTCACCTGCATTTCAGCCCTGAACTGGATCCTGTCTTTATTAGAAAATTTCAGGTAAAAATATTTAAATTTGGATTGAATTTTTTGATATAAAATTGATTTTCATAAGTATATTACATGAAAATAATATTTATCTTGATCACTGAGCTTTGGGGCACCCTTCCCTCACCCTACCCCCCAATTTTGCCTCCAAGGCTACTGTCTCACTAAGGACCTCTCTTACTCTCAAAGTGTGAGTTTGCTTGTGCGGCTGGCCCAGCCCTTGCAGTTCCTTCCTGGCTCCAAATTCCTTTTGAACTTGACCCACGTCAGGTCACATAGTTCTAGGGCTCACAGGACAGGAGGTGCCCTCATACGGCTGGAAAAAGGGCAGGTCCTGGCTGAGCTTGGGAGGAGGGTGAGGAGGGAGATTCTGATTCAGAAGAGATGGTGGTCCTCCGGCTAGTCAGGAGGACTTACTCATTCTTGGGGAAGCCCACACTCTGCCCAAGGCCACCGTGAGGAAGGGGCCAGACCCCCCCTTTCAGCCTCCGTCCAGGCTGGAGGGAGAGCCGGGGGTTAGGGATGGGTAAGGAGGGGCGCCGGGCGAATCCACCCACCCTCACGCACCCCATGCCAGTCCCTCTTACTTGGGGTGCCTGATGGGCACTTCCAGCACCAGCTCTGGGGGAATCTGGAAGAGCTCGGGGTCGTTGCCATTGGCCTGGAGCAGGAGTGGCAGCACATCGAAGCGGCCTCTTGGGGGTTTCCAGCCTTGCTGGATGCAGATCTGCAACCAGAAGGGGCCAGGTCACAACCAGCCGCGGTCAACATGTCCTCAGACCCTCCAGACGCTATGGCAATGGAGGGCAGGGCAGAGGCCCCAGTGCAAGCCTGCCAGCAGCACCTTCCTCTGGAGGCTCGGGCCACGCCACCCCCGCCATACAGTTCTGTCTGACATCACACGTGTCTGTCTATGTGCCTTCTCCTGGCCCTCAGGACAGAAGGCAAATCTGGTCTCCTGCACTGCGCTCTGTTACGTTTTCTGAGTTCTTCTTGCGGCCCCAGAACTCCGGAGGGTTAAGAGCTGAATCTGCGTCTGTGATGCCCTCGAGCACAGGGTCCAGGATGTCCTACTAACTCGCTCTGGAGCTGTTTGCATCGGGCACCCTGAGAGATACAGAAAATCTACCATAGTTGGTGAGCGCAGAATTATCAGAATTTGTGCATAAATGCATCTGTGAGAGCAGCGGTCCAATGAAAATATAAAGCCAGCCACATAGGCAATTAACAAATTTTTCGAGTAGCCACGCTTGAAAAAGTAAACAAAAGTCCAACAAAGATCAGGTGCAATAATTTAAATGATATATTCATTTTAATAATATGTCAACAATTTAAAAAGTTCAATACTATTCAAGTTAGAAATCACAATTATAATTTATTATAGTAATATCAATTTATTAATACTGTATTAAAGTATTGCTATCAATATATTAATATATTTGACATTAAGGTTAAATATGTAATATATTTATTCAACAAATATATCAAATATATACTGTATAATGTATAACTAAGTGTATGAATCATCATTAATTTATTAATGATAAATTATTAAATACATTATTATTATTATTTTTAATGTTTTATTTATTTCTAGGAGAGAGAGAGAGAGAGAGACAGCGTGAGCAGGGGAGGGTCAGAGAGAGAGGGAGTCACAGACTGAAACAGGCTCCAGGCTTTGAGCTGGCAGTCAGCACAGAGCCCGACGCGGGGCTCGAACCCACGAACCGCGAGATCATGACCTAAGCGGCAGTTGGACGCTTAACCGACTAAGCCACCCAGGCGCCCCTAAATACATTATTAATATTACTATAATAAGATACTTAACATTAACAAATTTTCATACATTTATGAACTCAATAGGTGTATTAATTATTAATAAATATAATAGATTAGCCTAACATTATCTACAATATTATTTCAACCTGTAATTGAGGTAAAAATTATTAATGAGGTAGTTCCCACTCTCTGTTTTGTTCTCAGCCTCTGAGACGCGGTGTGTCGTTTACACCCGTGACGCACCTCAGTTTGGACTCAACACATTTCCAGTGCTCACTGGCCACACGTGGCCAGGGGCTGCCGCACTGGACCGTGTAGAGCCGGAGGGTTTCGAAAGATACAGGCATGTGGTTATGTTCGGGGAGATTCTTTCTGCCGTGTTAGTAGAAAGAGGAAGTAGGAAATCAGGGGCTGAGACGAACATGTGCTGTCAGCGAGGTTTCTGGAGACAGAAGGGGAGGGAGAGGCTGTGGCGTTTATGTTCTGGTGGCCGTGAGGACAAGGTCAGCCAACGATGCAGTTAGCGCTCAGCCAAGTGGAGCCGGAGTCTGGCTGCGTCTAAACCGGCACAGGTGCAACTCCTGGTCGCCCTGGTTACAGCCCCTTCTTCCCGGTAATAACATTTCAATAAGAAAAGCCGCATGCAAATGAAGTCAGCAGGGAGGGGGTGGAGCAAGCTGCATGCAAATGAAGTCAGGGTGGGGGGGTGGGGGGGGTTTGGGCTTGCCAGCTGGGTCCTGAGGAAGGTCCGGGGCTGGGGTGTGAGGGAAGAACAGATGAACCTCGGCTGGGGTTGAGTGGCTGATAAGGAAAAGGGATTCCGGGCCGTGTGCCTGAGATCATTCTAGGCATGGGTGTGCCCGTGGTGTCTCTCGTGGGCACGGTGCTAGAAGCTACCATGACTTACCTGTGCTGCATCACCACCCAATGGGGTGATGGTGGTGTTTGCTTTCCTGGTGGCTTTTATCTTAAACTGTTTTATTCTTTTTTTAATTTATTTTGAGAGAGAGAGAGAGAGACAACGCGTGAGCAGGGAGGGGCAGAGAGAGAGGGAGACACAGAATCGGAAGCAGGCTCCAGGCTCCAAGCTGCCAGCACAGAGCCCCACACGGGGCATGAACCCATGCACTGTGAGATCATGACCTGAGCCAAAGTCAGACGCTCAACAGACTGAGGCCCCCAGGCGGCCCTCGTGGTGGCTTTTATGAATTCACTTGGGCTCCCAGGAGCTGTGTTCGTACCATGCAGAGACAAGCCCATCCAAAGAAGGGGTGGGTGGGCAGGCAGAATTGCTGCATCGACAGATGAATGAATGATAGGAGTCTGCCATAGTGCCCAATCCAGAGGCAGCAAATGCCAGACACGGCTCCCACAATCAGCATCTCTCCTGCTGGTGGGAGGCAGGAGATTTGGACTGTACTTCTGGCTTTCCCTCTGCTCATTTAGTAGCCTTTTTATAACTCATGTGGCCATGGGGAGACTCAGTCTACTCGTCTGTAAAATGGGGCAACAGTTCCTATCAGGAGGGTCGGGCGAGGTAATGGATGAAAATGACCAAACGACCAGCTGTAAGGGAACCAGGTGGACTGGGGGCAGCCCAGAGGAGCAGGGGGTCTGGAGAGGAGTAAACGGTAACCCACTGGCTGCTTTCCCTATGGCGGTAACATTAAAAGAAGAAAAGGCCATGGATAAAGACAGTTTGGGGGACCGGGTGGGGTGGGAGGCACACACCTCTGTGAATTCCACATTGGCCGGGTCCCCTAGGATGGAGCCGTCGGGCTTCTTGTAGCCAGCATAGCGGATGAGCTGAGAGTTCCAGACTCGGAAGTCGTGCTTGCCGTCAGTCCTCTGGGGGAATATGGTGATGGCGGATCTGCGGTGGAGAGAGGGAAATGAGGCGCCTGGTGGGCGCACTGCAAAGACGTCACCCAGGCCACCAACTGAGGCTCAGGGTGGATTGCCTCTGTGCCAAGGTCCCCAAGAGCCCACGGAGCTGCTGTTGGAAGGGAGGGACCATGCCCTGGCCCTCCACTGGACCACTGGTCTGAGGAAGGGTAGGGTATGGGAGGCCCCACACCAGCTCGCTTAAGAGCAGAGCATACTGCTCTAACTGGAGACTTTGAAGCACTCTTGACTTGGGCCAGTTTTCCAGGGGTTCTTTGGCAGCCGGGAATCTCCATGGAAACAACGGGGGACCCTCTTTCCCCTTGAAGAGTGAACACCACTGATTTCAACTTCCACTCTTGCTCTTTTACCCCCATCCTTACTTTTCCCCTACTTGCCACCCCTCCCCCGAACCATACCAGTATCTACAGACACAGGACTAAGAAGAAATCAACGTCCCTTGTAAATCACGTTTATTTACTTTAAAGGAAAACTGGAGATCGCCACTGGCCTCACCTCCCTCAACTGGAACTGCGAGGCCATATACTATTACTATGTTGCAGAAATATCTGTGCTTGTTGAAGACACTGAGCCGGAGCCCAGCTCGCTCCCCTAAAGGGGACATCACCAGCGTTAGGCGTTAATGATATCTCAGCACCAAACTGAGACTTTTGTCTTTGGGATCATGAGAAGGACTGAAAGCAACTGAAAGGAGAATGACTTCTTTACGACGGGATTTCAGCGTTATTTCCTACCAGCGGCTCTTGCCATCCTGACTCAACAGCCCCATCAGGGGACTCGATCCCGGGCTGTGGGAGACACCACCCTGGCTCGGGTCAGTGTGAGGATCACACGGTAAGGCCACCTCATTGCTTTCAGATCCTTTCCTACACACACCCTGCCCCTGGACCTTTGCCCTGCTATCCAGCTCAGCTGGAATCCCTCACTGCTGTCGTGTACCCAAGTTCAAGGCCAGACTCAAGATTCACCTCCTCCACAAAGCATCCCCTGTCTTATCTGTTCCCAGGACCACCTTCTTTCTGAGCCCACGTAGGTCTTTTTTTTTTTTTTTTAATTTTTTAATTCATTTCTAGGAGAGAGAGAGACAGCGTGAGCAGGGGAAGGTCAGAGAGAGAGGGAGTCACAGACTCTGAAACAGGCTCCAGGCTCTGAGCTGGCCGTCAGCACAGAGCCCGACGCGGGGCTCGAACCCACGAACCGCGAGATCATGACCTAAGCGAAAGTCGGACGCTTAACCGACTAAGCCACCCAGGCGCCCCTGAGCCCACGTAGGTCTTACCGTGTGCGCAAGACAGTATTGCATTTAATACTGCAGGGACGGACGCTGAGTCTAGAACGGGGGCTGAAGGTGGAAGTCACATAGGTCCACCAGGGCTCTTAGCAGTCTTGTGGCAAAGGCGCCATATTGGAGACGAACACAGAATGAGTCAAACTGTCAGTGTTCCCTCTAGCAGTAAGACACACTGCCGTTTCTTTGGTTGAGCACCAGATACAGGCTGTTTGTGTAAAATATATATTTAAAAGGCACGTTTAGAAACACCAGAGTCGCATACAGCGGGCGGAATCCTTACTCTGTGTGCGGGAACTGAGACCCGCAGAAGAAATAGAATACGCTTCTGTTTCCTAAACACAATTTCACTGAATGGCAGATCGAATGCCCTGCTCTGTTTAAATTCCATCTCTCTCTTTCCCTCCCTTCTTCTCCCTTGCCAGCCTTCCTGTTATGTTTCGATAATTTCTATATATGGCCTTCTTATCATGTCCAGATTTGTGGTTTAAAACTTGTGGGGGCGCCTGGGTGGCTCAATCGATTAAGTGTCTGACTTTGGCTCAGGTCATGATCTAGCGGTTCGTGCATTCGAGGCCTGCGTCGGGCTATCTGCAGTTGGTACAGAGATCCCCGGTCTTCCTCTCTCTCTGCCCCTCCCTCACGTTGCACATTTTTTTCCTCTCTCTCTGAGAAATAAATAAACATTAAAAAAATTTTTTGGAAACTTGTGAAAAAAAATGGGGTGCCTGGATCACTCAGTCAGTGGAGTGTCTGACTCTTGATTTCCACTCAGATCATGGTCTCAGGGTTGTGGGATTGAGCCCTCCATCTGGCTCCATGCTGATCATGGAGTCTGCTTGGGATTCTCTCTCTCTCTCTCTCTCTCTCTCTCTCTATCTCTTTTCTCTACCCCTCTCGACTCGTGCTCTCTCTCTAAAGTAAAATTTTTTAAAAAGTGTAAAAAAAAAAGGAATCGGCTGAATATTTTCTTTAATAAAAGATCTCAAGAAGACCCTCAACTGAAAACTGAAAAAAGTGGAGGTGCACTGTCTGGCTTCCGGTGACCCCCCACCCCGATACTGCCTTGGAATAGCACCGTTTGGAAACTACCAGAACCACCCATCAGCTCTTTGAGGGCTGAGACCTTGACCCTTTGGTGTTCTCCGAGGGGTGAGGTCTTTCAGGAAAAGATCTGACTACTACTTCCCCGAGCAGCTTCTGGGCTTCCATGACAGACCCTTTCCCACTGGTGGGCTCAGCTGGGACACATTTCCTTCTCAAGGAAGGGACCCATCCAAGAAAACCCATGCTGGATGCAAATAAGCCACTAGGGGGGGCTGGTGGGACTGTCCCTGCTGTGGTCCACAGGGCCCCACCCCGGGGCCGGTCCTCGGCGGCTGGACCAGATGCCTGGGCAGGGCTCATCGCACAGGAGTAACACGTCTAACGGCTGGGCTGCGGGGTCCCCAGCTGTCGCCTTCCAGCTGCCACTGGCCAGTGTGGAAGCCAGCAGCTCACATCGGTGCCTCCCTGTCTTCGCTTCCTTCCCGGGCTGGTTCTTAGGAATCCAAGGCGTGGCTCGCTTGGCTTAACCTGGAGGAGCAGTGCTCACAGCGGCAGGAAGCAAACTTCTCTTTTAAATCCCGGGAGATTCTGAGGCAGCTCCAGGCAAAAGAGCGAGAGCTGGTAAAAGCACGTCACCATTGGCAATGGGACTTTTGAGTCCGGGCAACGGGAAACACCCCTTCCTGCCCCCTCCACGGCTGAGAATGAACTGTGAGGGTTGAACGGGATTTTGGTTGCCACGCAAGAGTCTGTTTCTTCCGGAAGAGACAGCACATGGCAGGTGGAACAACGAAGCCCGGCCGCCTCTGGCCGTGTGGCACATCTCCCCAAGAGGAGACAGACGGGGAGCCTTTCCCCAGCAGGTGGGCCCACTCCACACCCAACAGTCAATGCCCTGGGGCCATCGGACCCCCCTCCCCGGAGCCGGTGGGCTCACCTGAGGTTCCCTTTGTTGGTGGCATACTTGATGTGGTTGCAGATGTAGTTGAACATCCCGTGAGCGGTGGTGCAGTCGCGGGCATCGAACACCTGCAAAGGATACACGGTGAGAGCGGGCGCCTCCTCCTTCCCTCCTCGGTTCCCCGGCGCAGCCTTCCCGCAGGGACGGGAACTGGAGCCCACGCCACCTGCTGTCCCTCTAGAGTAGCGGGCACTCCACGCGTGTGATCCGGGCTGGCGTTTATGGTTTCTTTTTCCTGTCCTAATAACCACGGTCAATCAGACCAGAAAACCTCCCCTGAAGGCAGGCGTGGTGTGTAGGTGAAGGCGGTGAAGGGGTGATGAGCAAAAAGGAGACTCGGGCGGGCTGCAGGGTTTTTCTGCTAGGTCACTAGGGATGAGGGATTTAAAAACAAAAATCAAACACCCCCCACCCCACCTTGATAACGAATCTACTTCTTATTTCAAACTATTCCCCAAGGGGGCAGAAATCCTTGCAGGGGACAGAGAATCTAACGCTTTCAGAGAGTAGGTGGATAATATAGCTACGCAAAGCGTAGGCGGAGCACTAAAGAGAGTGGTAAGGGTCTGTGGTAAAGTGGACTTAACCAAGAGACGTGCAAGTTCCTTTAAAAAAAACCAAAACGCTGCATTGGGGCGCCTGGCTGGCTCAGTCGGTTGAGCGTCTGACTCTTGATTTCGGCTCAGGGCATGACCTCATGGTTCGTGATATCGAGCCCCACGTCGGGCTCTGTGCCGACAGTGCTGAGTCTGCTTGGGATTCTCTCTCTCTGTCTCTCTCTCTGCCCCTCCCCCACACCTCTCTCAAAATACAAATAAACATTAAAAAAAAAAAAGCCCAGCATGTTGGCTAAGTGAGACCTGACTGTGAGGCAGGGACCCCGCGACCACCGTCCGGGATTTCGCCACACCGGCCAGGTGGCCTTGGTGAGAGCCGGCCCTTTGTACGGCCCCTTCCCTCCCTCCCCACCCTCCAAGGAGCCTCACCCCCTACCTGCAGCTTGGACCACTGGATCCTGCCCACGCAGCGGGAGGCGTTCCGCCAAGCATGCTTGGCCCCGTAGATGAGCTCTGTGTCCTTGAGCTGGTAGGTTCCGGTGGTTTCGATCTCTTTATTCACCTCTTCCAGCCTCTCCGTGTGGGCTTTGGAGCCAAATCTGAGTGAGGAGGGAAGGGACATGGGAGTGTCACCTTCTCTCCCGAGTCAGGGGTCGGTGGAAGGAGTGAGCCGTTCCGCGCGGCCAGAAGCTGCAGCAAGTGTGGGTTGATGCGGACACGGTGGTTCAAACATAGGTGGCCTGTGAATGCCAGGGTCCACAAAGGCCCACGGCGACCGAGCTGGCTGGGTGGAGACTGCAACCGACCAGAGAGCCTGTACCTGGCTTTCATTTCAGGAGAAGAGCACTGGGTGTTACATGTAAGAGATGAACCACTAAATTCTATTCCAAACAAACAAACAGATAAAATTCGATTGAAAACAAAAACAGAAACAAACAAATAAAACCAAAGATCTCCTTTCAAGAGGAACTGGAGAGAGAGAGAGAGAGAGAGAGAGAGAGAGAGAGAGAGAGGGAGGGAGACACAGAATGTGAAACACTCTCCAGGCTCTGCGCTGTCAGCACGGAGCCCAACACGGGGCTCAAACTCACAAACTGTGAGCTCATGCCCTGAGCCGAAGTCAGACACTTAACCGTCTGAGCCACCCAGGCGCCCCTTTATTTATTCGTTTTTAAAGATCTTATTTTAAAGTAATCTCTCCACCCAATATGGGGCTCAGACTCACAACCCCAAGATCAAAAATCGCATGCTCCACCGACTGAGCCATTTTTCCCCTTAAATTTGCTTACTGTTAAGTTGGCTTACATATAACACCCAGTGCTCATTCCAACAAGTGCCCTCCTCCATGCTGACTGAGCCATTTTTAAAGAGAAATCTTCTCATTTTTAAGTGATGACAAGGAATTCAAGTAGAGAAGGCTGAAAAAAATTATTATGAAAAATTTGGGGCTTACAAAAAGGTATCGAGAATACTGTGATGAATACCCAAGCCTGAGAAATACTAAATGAGGGGCACCTGGCTGGCTCAGTCAGAGGAGCGTATGACTCTTGATCTCAGGGTCATGAGTTTGAGCCCCATGTTGGGTGGAGAGATTACATAAATAAATAAAACTTTAAAAAATAATAAAAGAGAAATGATATTATAATTCCTTGGGGACTATTTTTCCATCATTTAAAAAATTTTGTTTAAATGTTTTTATTTATGATTGAGAGACAGAGACAGAGCATGAGCAGGGGAGGGGCAGAGAGAGGGGGAGACACAGAATCCGAAGCAGGCTCCAGGCTCTGAGCTGTCAGCACAGAGCCTGACGTGGGGCTCGAACCCACAAACCGTGAGATCATGACCTGAGCTGAAGTTGGACGCTTAACCGACTGAGCCCCCCTGGGCGCCCCAACTATTTTTCCATCATAACCCATTTTCTTCCTGGAAGTGTCTCAAGCTTTTCTCCATATATTTGTCACATGTGTATATATTCCCTAAATCACACACTGTATTATTCTGTATGTTTACAAAGCTTATATAAATGATGCTAACCTGAATGCATTCTTCTACAAACTTATCCTTTCTACCTTTTGCAGAGTTATTTTCAAGCTTCATTCCCACCAATGTGCTGAGGGCTACCTCGTTCACTTTGTACAGCTGTATAATATTCCGTAACTCAGAAAATACCACCACATCCCCACACATCCTCCTGTTGAGGGAGTCGAGGTGGTTTCTGGTTGGCTCTTTCCTTTTAAATTTTTTCCCATTAAATTCACATTTCAGTGAACACTTACACGCATATCTTCTGGTGAACAAGGGGAGAGTTTCTTTTATACCTGGGCACGGAGTTGCTTGAACTATTATAAATTTAAGCAACACTTTGCAGGCCAAACCAAGACATTTCTGGGGGCCAGATTTGGCCCCCGGGCCACTAGTTTTTAACCCATGCGTACATGGTGGGCAGAGCCCTTACGCTGGGTTCAACTGTCTGAAGAGCTGGAGTTGAAGTCTTTGTCCCAGGTACTTGGTAACTCGCCCTGGGTCCCCGGAGCCAACATACACTTGCCTTTTAATTGATGAGTAGTACTGGTCAATGAACTCTTTGGCGAGAGGGAAGAGCTGTTCTTTCGTGCGGACGTCCTCGGGCCTTCGAATTTGCTGAGAGGGAAGCATGATGGAGCCCATGCAGATGTGCTCGGTGCAGCCCGTTTCCTGGAGGGAAAGAGAGATTCGAGCTACCACGTGCAGGCCCGCGTCGGGCTGAGGACATGGGTCTGACGTTGGTGGTGGAGTTGACTTGGCCTTTAATTCCCAAACAGGCCTGCTCAAGTGCCAGCTTCCGGCCGTTGTAGGATGGGGTCATCAGGCCTGGTAGGGAATGATGGGCGGCGTTCTGGGGTTCTGAAAGTGTTTGCTCTACTTGGCTTGGGGAAGAGGGGCTTCCTGACTGGCTCTCCCTAAGCGTCAGACTCACTGCTGCTGAATCCTCAAGTAGTTTTTGATCCCATATTCATCAAGGAAGAACTGCTAGTATGGCTGAACACATTTATGGGATGCTGATTGCAAGGAAGTCGCCCCAATTCCTCACTTCCCTGTATCCACACCCTTTGCAATGTGCCTTCACAACAACTGTCATTGAGAAGTAGAGCCTATATCCTCTCCCCTTGGACATGAGCTGGTTTTGTCCAATAGAAAATAACAGATGGGATCCCATGCCCACCCCCATGCCTAGGCCTCAGGAGGTTTTGCATGCTTTTGCTCATTTTCTCTGAGAACCTCACAACCACCATGTGAACCAGGCTAGGCTAGCTTGCTGGATGGAGCGACCACATGAAATAGAGGTGAGTGATCACGGCCAAGGCCATCCTAGACCAGCCCACCCAGAGCCGGCCCCTCACATGACTGCAGAGGCTTGAGATCAACGGCGACCAGTAGGACCCCTGCACCAATCTCTGGACTTTCGAAACATAATTAGTGGCTGTTTTAAGCCACTGAGCGTTGGGGAAATTTGTTACACGGCAACAGCTCACCGATACGATGTTCTTTGAAGAGGCTCATTTTCAACGAAAATGTAAAGCAATATGGTGATTTGCTGACTGTTAAAAAATGGGATATAAAAGTTTAGCGGAAACACTGTGAAAGCAAAGAAGGGCTTGCTCAAGATCCCATTAGCGTCAGACTATGAGAGATAAAGAAAATGCATTCAGAACCAGAAATCCCTCCTGGATTCTTTCAGGTTCAAAGTACACAAATAAAAAATATATCTGGGGCGCCTGGGTGGCTCAGGAGGTTAAGCCTCTGACTTCGGCTCAGGTCATGATCTCGCGGTAGATGAGTTCGAGCCCCGCATCAGGCTCTGTGCTGACGGCTCAGAGCCTGAAGCCTGTTTCGGATTCTGTGTCTCCCTCTCTCTCTGCCCCTCCTCCACTCACACCTTGACTCTCTCTCTCTCCTTCTCAAAAATAAACAGAAATATTAAAATAATTAGAAAAAGAAAATATTTACACGAATGAGTAGGTATCTGCCAGTGGTTCTCAGATGGGAGGGGCTTCCCACCCCGGGGACACCGAGAAATATCTCGAGACATTTGTGGTGTGGTTACAACTTCAAGGGGGGCGAGGAATCTCACGCGTATGGGCCAGGGGCGATGCTGAGCGCCCTGCTGTGCACGGGGCTGGCCCCACGACAGACTTGTCCAGCGCCAAATGCGGCCAGTGTGAGGTGGGTCCATGCCCTGCTGGGTTACTCACCAGTGTGCTCTTGAGGTGAAGCGTGTCAGTGAGAACCACGTCGGTCTCCCAGTTCTTCACCTTGAGGAAGCGGGGGCACTTGGAGGGACTGCCATTCTTCGTGGGAGACTGTTTCCCCGAGGCAGGGGGCTGGAGGAGAGATTGGAGAAGGAACGTTAGGCAGGGTCCGGTGGGCACTCGGAAACTGTCTGCAGAGACGGGGAAAAGAGCTGGTCTTCCTGGAATGTGCCAGAGTTACCAAGTGTCTGCACCAAGAGAAGGTGACATGGGCAGGGTGGCTGGGAACCTGGCCCCTCTGCCGATGAAGAAGGAGGCACTGCAGGAAAGCCTTTGGGGTACTGTTCTGCGGAGAGGGATCAGGAACTCAAAGGTGGCCTTGCTGGTGTCTAACGCAGGTCTTAGCACATGGCAGGGGCTCAGTGAATTTTTGTTGAATGAATAAACGAGCAAGGGACACCGTCAGCCTCTGAACAGTACTGGCTTTCAGGCCTAAGGAATCACATCTGAAGCTAGGTCAAGTTACTTGGATTTCTGGGCTTTCCTGCTACGGCCCAAATGCACTATTTCTCGTGAGTGCTGGGAAAACAGAAAAGATCCAATCAGATAGTTCTGAAGCATGAATATTTCCCCTGAACTTTAGGTTTCTGCCTCTCAAAAATGCCCAGTGTGTTCCTGCCTCAGGGCCTTTGCACTGACTGCTCTGTCTTAAACACCCTCAGTCCCCCATTTGTCTTCACTTCTATAAACAAATTGCCCAGTAGGTGGGGGGCGGGGGGGGGAATAAGTCCTGGCTGACATTCTTGGCTCATCCATCTGAGGCCTCATTAATGAGGATCGCATTCTGTCTTGGGTGTTTCTGAGGAATTGTCTACCTGCTTTTGCAACAGACAAGCCTCAGTTAGTCAGCAACTGTCAGATGCAGCAGGCACACCTTGACATGACAGCTGAGTGAGGGAAGGGAGAAGACAGGCCAATGTGGAGTCACATTCATACCGAAGAACGGAGCACTGGGTAGTGACCCTGCGGCGGGGCATTCACATGCTCAGCTAGTATTTATTGAGGACCTATTATGGGCTAGACACTGTCAGGCACTGTGGACACTGTAGTGATTAAGACAGAAAGTGCCTTGACCCTTCAGGGACATTATTGTCAAAGAAATGGAGACAAATTATAAATAAACCAACACACAAATGATATAATATCAGTTGGTTGTAAGAATATATATGGATGACTAAGTGGAGGAGAGAAAGGCAAGTGCAAAGGCCCTGAGGTAGGATGAGCTTGTTAAGTTCCAAGGTCCAGCGAGGAGGCCGGTGTGGCTGGAGTGTGTGAGTATGGCTATTTCAAGGAGATGAAGTCAGAAAGGAGCCCAAATTGTCATCTCATCGGGTTGGAGGGGCTCAGACTGGTGAGGAAGACTGGTGAATTACGATTAAGTGGGCTAAGTCCAGGAAAGAAATCACAGAGTACGCTGAAGGACTACTACTGAAAACTGGCATTCAATAAGCACTCACTATGTGCCAAGCAAAATCTAATTGTGCTCATATTACAGACGAGGAAACTGAGGCACAGAGAGGTTAACTAAGTTGTCCAAGATCACAAAGCTAGTAAACTGGAACCAGGAGTCAAATCCAGGCAGTCTGTCTTTCAAGCCATGCTCTTAGCTGCTGACTCTCCTGCCTCTTGGTCATTATGCATAATTCATTCATTCATTCGTTCGTTCGTTCGTTCGTTCATTCATCCAACATGTGTTTACTGAGTATCTCCTATGTTCCAAGCAAGGTAGCAAGGGCCAGGGCCATGGTGACAAACTAGACAGATGTGATCGCTGTCCTCATGGAGTTCATTGTGCAATGTGGGGGTCAAGGGAGGGATGACAGTTTATGCGTCATTATAACCAAGTGCAATGGCCATCATAACCTGGGATGTGGGTTGTATATAAGGCACTGGGGAAGCACATGGAAGGGGAGCCTAACCCAGAACGTTTGACTTCTAACTAGAGACCTTCAGGACGAGTAGGTATTAATTTGGCAAAGAAAGAAGAGCAAGGTCTTGTGGGCAGAAAGAACAGCTTATGCAAAGGTCCTGAGGTGAGAGGCATAGCACAGCCACCTTTCTGGCCCGCAGAATAGAAAAGCTCTGTGCTAAGGCATCTGTGCCACCATGTTGGAATCTGAGGAACAGAAGGTCGGTGAACAGCGTGTTGAAGATGTCTCCAGAACCACGCAAGAGATGGCAGACAGAGGACCCATGGAGGCCGCCATGACTCGCCCCTGCAGCAGCCAGATCTGGTCATCCCCAGTGATTCCCATCTCAGTGCTGGGCATCCCCACCCACCTGTGCAAGCCACCATTGGGGGCTGTCCTGGACTCCATTCTCTGTCTCCCCCACCTCCAGTGCCTCCCCAAGTCGCACCATCTTAGCTTCCACGCAGCTCTAGAATCCACGCCCTTCTCTTTCCCCCCATCTGACTGGGCAACACCGCGGCCAGGCCAGCATCGTCTTTCTCCTGGATGAATGTAATCACCTCCTAACTGTCAGCCCTCACTTCTCGCTACGGGCGTTATAACGTGCTACTCCTAGTGCACCGGCCAGTGCTCTCGGCAAGGTCACTGCCGCAAGTGTTACTGCCGTCCCACCACACCGGGGGCGGGCGTGGATTTGGAGGGATTCTTCCCTTCACTCGCACTTCCTGCCTACTCAGCCCCAGGTTATTTTACTTACATCCCCTGGTGGAGCCACATACAAACAGCTCCGTTTCCTTTGGAGGCCTGGCCAGACAGCCTCAACGCTTCTTTAAGATTCTGTCTAAAAAAAAAAAGGGGGGGGCGCCTGGGTGGCTTAGTCGGTTAAGCGTCCGACTTTCGCTTAGGTCATGATCTCGTGGTTCGTGGGTTCGAGCCCCGTGTCGGGCTCTGTGCTGACTGCCAGCTCAGAGCCTGGAGCCTGTTTCAGTCTGTGACTCCCTCTCTCTCTGACCCTCCCCTGCTCACACTGTCTCTCTCTCTCTCTCTCCTAGAAATAAATAAAAAACATTAAAAAAAAATAGGATTCTGTCTCCATGACTGTCTCTTCCAGCAGACACGCGGGTGACGGAAGTCACACCTTTGGGCAAGGCTCTGCGGTGACGAATTCCTCAGTGTCCATGAGAACCCCCAAAATCTGACCTTGCCCATGGGGGAGGCACCCCGGCCACCCTCCCTAAGGACTGGGCATTGCTCAGCCAGTTTACACCCTCTCTTGACCATCTCTAGGAATGGCCTAGAGGCTGAGGGGGTAGCTGGAATCCCAGGTGGGGGAAAAGAGACGCAGAGCCGGCACTGGGGGCCAGCTAGGACCCCCTGGGGGGAGTGGTGCGAGGGCAGACGGTGGGGAGCACCGTGAGGCGGGAGGAAGAGGCGTGGGGTGCGGCTCCTGGGGGTGGGGACAGCCAGCAGCCCTCATCGGCAGGGTGTGGAGGTAGCGAGGTAACAGGCATAATGAAAACGGCCATCTGTGGAGGTTGCAGATGCGTGAGGGGTGGTCATTCGAGCCCAGAACCCGGGGGACCCGGGCGTTAGCCCTGACTCGCTCCACCCTGGGCTGCATTGAACTACACCCTTGAAACCAGGCATTAGGAGCCCTCTGGCAGGGCTGTTGTACTTGGGGCTTTGATGTTTAATTAGCCAGCAGTAATATTAGATGACTCAGGAGGGGACAAATGGGGAGATTAATTTAGCAGTCAGGGGCCCTGCATGGGGGAAGCAAATGAGTTTTCTGAGTGGGGACTGAGATGTTCTCACTAAAAATGCACATTAGTGGCACTTGTGAGTTATTAAGCAGGAGACAGGCCACAAGTGGGCTTTGGGCTGTGGCTACACGTGTCCTTTTCTGGATTTGTGTCTGGGGGGTGGTCAGTGGAAGTTTTCAGGTGGTGGGAGACAGCAGCTAGATCTTGGTGGGCTGGCGGGGGCGGGGGGGGGCTGCCCGGGATGCTTGACCCTGAGGAAGGACAGGAGGCTGTGAACTTGTGGGCATTTCCAAGGTGTGTCAACACCTCTTTTCTTCCGGAGCCTGCAGGGGCCCCAAAGAAATGGAAGGTAATGGCTTTACACCCCAACAGGACATGGTGAGGTGAGGTCGTATCAGCCTGGGGGTCCTGAGCTAGGAATTCCACTTTCCAGGCATCCTGACCCCCTGTTTTCTTCTTCAAAAAAAAAAATTTTTTTAACGTTTATTTGTTTTTGAGAGACAGAGAGACAGCATGAGCAGGGGAGGGTCAGAGAGAGAGAGACAAAGAATCTGAAACAGGCTCTAGGCTGTTGACAGAGCCCGACGCGGGGCTCAAACTCATGAACCGTGAGATCATGACCTGGGCCAAAGTCAGACGCTTAACCGACCGCACCCTGTTTCGTTCTGGCCCCTCCCTCCTCTATCTTCTTAAAAAAATATGTATTGAGGGGTGCCTGGGTGGCTCAGTTGGTTGAGTGTCAGACTCTGGCTCAGCTCAGGTATTGATCTCAGCTTTATGGGTTCAAGTCCTGCATTGGGCTCCATGCGGGGCGTGAACCCTACTTAAAAACAACAACAAAAAATGAATACATATCGAGCACCTGCTGTGTGCCAGGGACTCGTGTCCTTCGCCCTACAGGGGTCTCTACTCTCATCGCACAACTGGGAGAAGCCTCATATGGACGCAGGCAGGAGTTTGCTCACTGCAGCCCGCGGGCCACACCTGGTCCATTGCACGTTTTTACAGAGCCCGTAAACTAGGAATGGTTTTCCCTGTTGAATAAAACTATCAAAAGAAGAGGAATGTTTCATGACACATACACGGTATACGAAGTTCAAATTTCAGCGTTTACAAATAAAGTTTTATTGGCACAGGGCCACATTCTTTGTTTCTATATTTGTTTCTATATTGCCGTGGAGGCTTTTGTGATACAGCAGCAGAACAGGGGCAGTTGTGATGCAGACCAAGATCACACAGCCCACAAAAGCCAAAAATGTTTCCTCCTTTCCCTTTACAGAAAAGTCTGTGGACTCTCGATCCAAAGAATCAAATTCCTGCGGTTGAACGCTTAAGTTATTTTACTTCTGTCTCCATCCGCTTAAATGTCACTGCTTTAGAGATCTCTCCTGATCATCTT